GAAAAGCCAAGAGTGTGCAGAGCAATGGAGATCAAGTGAAAAGAGTACATCAAGTGTTATTAGGCTTAGTGAGATAAGGATAAAGAACTGAACACTGCATTTGGCTACATGAAAGTCACTGGGGACCATAAAAGCAGTTTTGTTGGGGTTGTGAGAGTAAGAGCCTGACAAGAATAGATTCGAAAAGGATGAAGAATTTGGGGCACCTAGGTGGAAGAGTTGGTTGGGTGTCCAACTCCTGGTTTCTGCTGAGGTCTTGATCTCAGAGTTGTGGGATCGAGCCCCGTGTTGGGATCCACACTCAGCATGGAATCTGCTTGGGATTCTCTCTCCCTCTCCTTGCCCCTTCCACTTATGCTCTCTCTTCCTCAAATAAATAAATCTTAAAAAAATAAAAAAGGATGAAGAATTGGAAATAACTAAAATAGATGAGTTTGCTGTCATTGTATAGCTGCAAAGGGGAGCAAAGGAATGGGCTTGTAGCTGAAAACTGGGAAGAGGGAGTTGGAGGAATCAAAAGGATTTTTAAGGCTGGAAACTAAGCTTATATGATGATAAGAATGACCCAAGAGAAGAAGAAAAATGATATAGGACAAAGAAAAAAGAATTGCCACAATGTTTTTGAGTAAGGGAAACCAGATCTAGTTCACTACATGGACTGGTTGCAAAAAGTTTACTTAGTAAATGGGAGGAAGAATATGGATAGAAATTCGTGGGTGGGGAAAGTCTGACAGTTTACTTCTGATGCTTCAGTTTTCTCACTGATGTAGAATGCAAGGTCATTAACTGAGGGTGAAGGAGAGGATGTACTGGAAGTCAGAGGATAACAGAAAAAGTAATAATGGTCTAGACGAGTGGGAGAATGAATTAAATTAGGGAAATACAGTATAACTACTAGGCAGCATTAAAGAATTTATTGTCACCCATCTAAAGTAAAATTCATCAACAGGGTTGAATTCTTTTTCCTACACATTTAGTTACTAGGATACAGGTAAGAATAAGAAGAAAGAAAAGAGTAAGGAACAGCAAAGAGTGGTAGGATAGATGAATCCTACAATATATTGGTAGGCAGTGTTGTCTGGATTGTTGGAGGGGGAATTCCAAAGGGAGTAAAGCTGAAAAGATGATCAAGGAATGAAATGTATAAAATTAAGATCGTGGAATTGGCATATTAAAAGCTTCAGGTGATGGCAAAAAAACCCAACTGAAAACATCTAATAGGAATATTTTAAAAATATACCCTATACAGCTCCCTAAAAGGTAATGCAAGTTTACAAAGGAAAAAGTAGGGGAAGAAACAATAAGTAATAAAGTGGAGGGGTGAAACAAATATATCAAAAACACAGACCAACAATATCCACTAAGGATACCAACAGCCATGAGTATAACCTAGTCGTTAATACCCTAAAAGAAGAAACAATTAACTGCAAGAGAATTCCAGTTTGACCAGATAAAATGCTCCAAAGCAAGGATTCTTTCACATAATAAATGCTCAGTAAATAAATGTTTGCTGAACAAGGATAAGGGAATCTGATAAATATAATGGGTAGTATTTTCAGCAGCAGTTTTTATAAACCTATTAACCCAAATTTTCAAATTAGGAAGGCTGATCAAATAAGCACTTTTATATAAGCAATAAATTACCTATACAGAACATGCAACTTAGACCAGACAAAACCAACTCCAGTGATGTTCCTAAATCAGATATGGTGGAGCCAGAATACACTGTTTCAAAGGCAAAAAAAAAAAAAAGTGTATTTTCCCAGATACAAGTCATAAGTAAAAATAAGTGAACCAAACCCTATCAGATCTCAGTCTGATAATTTTTATTTTTTTAAAGATTTTATTTAATTGACAGAGAGACACAGAGCAAGAGAGGGAACACAAGCAGGGGGAGTGGGAGAGGGAGAAACGGGCTTCCTGAGGAGCAGGGAGCCTGACACAGGGCTCGATCCCAGGACCCTGGGATCATGACCTGAGCCGAAGGCAGACGCTTAACGACTGAGCCACCCAGGTGCCCCAGTCTGATAATTTTTCAAATAGAAATACTGGTCTAGAAGGTGAGAAGAACCTCCTCTGTAATCTAGAATTTTATCTCTACACCACCCCTATTCAAAACTGTAAAGTACCAGTGCATGCAAAAGAATCAATTTACATCTAATTAGTTTATTTATTTTTATTTTTTATTTATTTATTTATTTTAAAGATTTTAATTTATTTTTTGACAGAGAGAGAGAGACAGTGAGAGAGGGAACACAAGCAGGGGGAGTGGGAGAGGGAGAAGCAGGCTTCCCTGCCGAGCAAGGAACCCGATGCGGGACTCGATCCCAGGACCCTGGGATCATGACCTGAGCCGAAGGCAGATGCTAAACGGCTGAGCCACCCAGGCGCCCCTAATTAGTTTATGATTAAGAATTATTTATCACTTTGAGTTTTAATATTGTGGAAAAATATGAAATGACATTTGAAAGAAGTTCCTTTTGACTTGCTTTAAATCTTAGGTTCTTGAAAGCATTAACATCAAGGTTAAGAAATATTGCAAAGAATTCAAGGAAATGACACTTGCGTTGTTGATAATAGTAGGAAAATATTCTAGAAGTATCAAATTTAAAATATATTGACTCAAGTGAAGAAACGTATTCTATAAAAATAAAAGCCCCAAAATATAAGGAAATATGTATAAGGATTTTCATTGTAACATTATTTGTAGTGACAAAAAACTGGAAACAAACTTACTACGGAGTATATTCTGCAGTTATTTAAAGCACTATCAACTGACAATATCCATCAATTACTGGGAGAGGGAAAAGCAAGTATTAGAGTAATGTGTTCACATGATTCTTTTTTTAAAAAAAAGTGCACCATCTCCATATGTGTGAATATTCATTCACTCAAAAATTACCTATTGAGCGCCTTTGACATACGAGGCACCATTTTGTGGTACATGCATTGTAGTGGTAGAGTCAAATAAGATAACTAAATAAAATACAGTATTTAGAATGTTACACAGTGAAAATAGAGAAGGGAAGAAGAGTAGTAAGAGTGTTTGTGGCAGGGAGACTAAAAAAAGAGGCAAATGAAGGGACATTTAAGGCAGACGGCACAGAAAGAGCAAAAAGAGGATGGTCAGTATGGATGGAGCTAAGTGACCAAAGAAAGTAATAAAAAATATATATATAAGATCTGGGAGGTGTAAGAAGTATCATGGGTGGGCAGATCACGTACATTCTTAAAAGGTAATTGTAGAGGTGTAGACTTCAGTTACCATACCAGGTTTTTAACTTTCGTTAAATGTTACAATGGTGACATATGTTTTTCTTTAGTTATCTTTGCATATTTCAGTTTAAACTGAACACACTGTAATAAGGAAAAAACTGAAGTTGATTGAGAACAGATATTTTAAAAAAGATGTCTCCTATAAACTGCTTCCTGACTTTATAATCTACAGGTATGCAATAAATTCCTAGATGTATTTACTGTAATGTATAAATATCAAGGCATGAAAAAATTAAAGATTTTATGTAAAAACAGATACGTATGTCTCAGCTATAGAAAGGATGCTTTCTAGATTTATAAAAATGCAAAAAGAAACAGTATCATGAAATAACTTAGAGACAAGAGAGTTCTAAGATGTAAAAATAGGAGAATAATGCCAAAACAGGATATTATAATACTCTGGGAACAAAGAACCAAGAGGTAGGTTATGTTCAATTAAGAGTGGGAACCTGGGAATTTGGAATGAAAAAAAAAACTGGGTTCAAACCCTACTATAGCGTAAACAAGTTACTTAATTTCCCACAGATTTAGTTTCTCCATCTTTAAGAGGAAGGTAGTAATATTTTTTAGTGAGAAAACTAAAATAATACATATTTTATCATACAACTTGGTCTTATTATATTGCTTGGTATTTAGTAGGCATTAAATAAGTATAAGACTGAATATGAAAATAGGTCAAGTAATTGTTATAATGATTATATCTACCTCTCAATGTGCTCACATTCTTTTAAAATTTCAAAATGGCCAAAAAAGCTAATTTGTTTGATCGGAATTTAAACCACATCTTTTTAAATGAAGAACCTCCAATATTAAATATATTTTCTGAAAAATAAGTGTATTTTCACATTTAAATTAGAATAAAATCTTTAAAATAATTCATTTTTTGTTTATGTAAGTTGAAATTTATAGTTTAACAAAGTCAGCAAATACAGTAAAAAAGAAGGGAACTGACTCAAGTCAGAAAGTTAAAATTATCACTGGATAGCCTTTATAAATTTAAACAGTACTTGTTAAGTTTTATAGCAGTTAAAAAATTTTTATAGCATTTTTAACCTTTTTATAAAAGATGAAATATGGCAGAATATGTATTCCAACTCTTCTCTTGCTGTGATTACTATTTGTATTACATTCTAGAATACAGAGTCACTGATAAGAAGGGGGAGAAAGGAGCTACAAGATTGTCAAAACCAAATATTGTTTATAGTATTTTACTCCCTATGGAAATAGATGGGAATGATGCTGTTCTACCTGAAAGAGAAAAGTATAAGACAAATCATCCATTTAAAAAATGTACTCATTAAACATTCCACCAAGTGGTTGTAATTCACTGGTTGGTTATGTGATGGTAATGCATTCGGTACGTCTGATAAATCTGTTGGCAATAAATTACAAGGTCTAGGATCAATGAAAGATCAATTTGGATGGGGATTAAGAGATCATTCGTTGAGGTAAGACTAAACTTGATTATTGAGGTTAGGTTTTCTGACTTCCAGATCAATGCAATTCCTATAATAAAATTTTGTTAATTTGATTACAAAGAAAGTTATTTTAATGATATTTAAAATAGTCATAATTCTCTCTACCTGAGCCAAACTTGGGAGGAAAAAACATGTGCATTGGTTAAAGCAAAAACAAAATGAAATAAAACCAAAAAACAATAGATTACAATTAGGGGGAAGGCAAAAGAGGAAAAGGAACTTTTTATATGTAAAGGTTATCATTACCTTTTCCAAGTCTAACTCCTCTAATAAAATGCTGGCATTTTTGTTTGCTTCAGCAGCCTGTCTATCTTTGGCTTGTACTATTGATTCCATACAAAGATGACACTTCTTCAGCATCTCCTAAAATAAAAAATTAAGATGTTTGCAGCCTCAAAAAACAATTCACATTTAGAGAGATTCCTGAAAACACGATGATAATTAAGGTACTTGAATGAACATAAGCAATAAAAATTAGTGGTAGGGCAAAAAAGGGTACAATTATAATACGAATGGTGTATATTTTTTAAGTTTATTTCTTTATAATCTCTACATCCAACATGGGGCTCAAACTCATGATTCTGAGATCAAGAATCTCATGCTCTACTGACTGAGCCAGCCAGGCACCCTGGTATATGTTTTTTAAAATACACAAGCAAAGAGCCTCTACTGTCCTTCAAAATAATATCCATTTGACTGGTACTTTGGAAACTAAAATTATTTACTCCTAACATTTCAATGGAAAAAATCATAGAGCAAACAGAGCTGCAATACTTTATGCCAGCTGGTTAATGGGCTAAAGGAAAAGGTCAATGTCAACAAAAAAATGGGTTTAAAAAATGTTAAAGTACTTAATTGGCAGGAATTGTTCTCAAAGATTTAAGCTTTGTTGCTACAACTTCATGTGCAAGAATCGCACTTAAAGAAATCATAGACATGGGTACTTACATACTTTTCTCAGTGATTTCATTCTTAGAACACACTACTTAACAGGAAAGGGCTACTTCCCTATTGAGACTAACGCCTTATTTTTTATCTCCCCACCTCTCCAAAAAAAAAAAACAAAAAAACAGGAATGTTAATTATCACAGAGGAATGTACAGGCAGGGAAGACAGTGAATTAGCTGTGTTAAATAAAATCCATGAAAAAAAGAGTGCTCACTATTATGTAGTAGAAAGACATTTTTGGATTCATTGACCTCTTTGCATTTTCAGAGCCATGTCTTAGGATTTTATTCAAACCTAAGTATAAACCCCAAGTCAAAACATCACCAGGGGAATATCCCAATTAGATGTCTAATGGGATTTATTTAACCTTCTTTACTTTTCCTGCAAAAATTCTGGCCAATTCATTCTTAAGCTGACAATTACTCCAATACTGAAGACATTAAAGTTTTCTTGCCCATGACTGTAAATAGAACTACGCTCAGTTTTGTTTAGGTATTTTAAAAAAAAACCCTACTGGGCTTGTTCCTCTCAGAAAAGGTTATCAATTTGGATATACATATATATATAAATTATAACACTGATGAATAATGACAATATTTGCTTTAGATTGTTTAGTGTTTACATAAAAATTTAATTAGTTCAAGTACTATTTAAAAAATAAAATTCTATTACAGAGACTGTTTTATTGCTTTTTTAGGTAAGTAAATAATCTGAAGCATCTATGAAATAGAATAGTTCATCTCCAAATACTAGATAAATTAAAATTGCTATATACACACATTATTGCTTAGACTAAGGCTTTTTTCTTAGTGCGAGACACACACATATATATGTATATATGTGTATGTATACAAGTGTGTGTGTGTGTGTGTGTGTGTATAACCAAATGGGATCCCTAACTCATATAGTGGGATGAGTTTAATCAGTATTATTACCTTATCAGTGATGGTTGCTATGTATCTCATACATTCAGAATCTGATGGAAACTGATTGACTTCTTTGACTAAGTAGCGCACCACCTTCACATGACCCTAAAAAATAGATACCAATGTCAGAAAACAGATTCTAACAGGATTCAGTATATCTACAGTCTGTCTTATCTAAGATTACTTTGACATCAGTGCCACAAAATAAAGTCTTAATTAGATATTATTTGCACTGTAAATGAAAGAGAGACAGACTTTGGTTCTGATAAATTAAATCTACACTGTTCATTTTCATCCCATCCTCCAAGTAGTACAGAATAACCTGACCTAAAATTCTAAACAACAATTAATAAAAAACCAATAAACCAAAAATCAGTATGAAGAAATGGGGGTATGTCTGAAAGAAAAAAAAAACAAAAACAAAACCTCATTTGTTTCTAGCTAATTCATAAGTGAGCATCCTAATTCTAAGCATTAAAATAGTAGAAATAACAATTTTGTTCTTTATTTCAGATAAAAATGGAATGTTCAGCACTGTACTAGAAGCATAAGAGGAATAAAATACACTTTCCTAAAACATGAGCTATGATTATATTATTCACAGTTCACTAAGCTCAAAATCCTTAGACCAGCGCTCAAGAGACTCTAACTTTCTCCAATCTACACTATTACTCTCTGAACACAACGCCTACAAATTAGCCAGTCTGGTTAAACAGACTGTGTCTAGTATATTTCTCTATCTCTTCCTTTCCACCACCTACATCTTTTTAAATTATTCCTATCTTTTAATGAATAGTTCAATGCCATTTGCATCATTCCTTGCTATCTCGCCAACACTTCTACAGTATTTAAATTATATGGGACACCTCACACAGTTACCTGACTTTGTGTGTGGATCTTACCTCCCCAATTAAATTCTACATTTCTTAAAAAGTGCAACTGCTGCACTCTGTACAATGTAATATCCCAACCATTACAGTTGCACATGGTAAGGTACTAAAAAAATAATGGAATGAATACAAAAGAATATAAAAGTTGAACATTGTTCTTAAGGAACTACATCTATTTGGAAAGATAAGATATATGCATGTTAGAGTAATAACAAGACAATTTTAGTCAAAATGAATGACAGAAATAACACTGCAGAACTTCTACAACTTTTAGGTGATTAAGTATCTTACTGTGAGATCAAATAGAATTGGAAGAGTTTCTGCAGAAGGGGAGATTTAAACTATACCCAAAGAATGAATAACTCTGGAAATGAGGAAGGACATGAGTATTTCTGAGATGAGAACAAAGGTGATGTGAGAGACAGCAACAATGAAAAGACCAAGCAAGGAGAAGACTCTCCACATCAGGGACTCATAATGGGAGATGAGCTTGAAGAGCACTAGCTTTATGGTGGCTGTGAATAACAAACTAAGATTGGATTTCAAAGGATGACAAAAAAGGAAAAGGTTCTAGAAGAGGATACTAACATAGTGGAGAGGTTAGGAAGATTAACTTGATAACGATATATTAGCTTGCTTGGAGAAGAGGTAGATAGTCAATGATAAAGCATAAGTTTGACTGGTGGGGAAAAAAACATACAGAGTGTCTAGATAGTCTAGAAAACCTAGGGAAGAGGTGGTATAAAGCACAGGAGCCAGAGAGAATTATAAGAGAAAAAGGAGAAAGATGATTTTTTGCAATTATATATTAGAAGTTTTCAATACAACAAATAATTTGTAATCTACCAAGGGATTTTACCTACCTGCCTCAAAATGACAAAGCTTAAAATTATAAACCCTAAAATAGTAATCCAGTTTTCCCAGTAACAAATTAAAACTGCATTTAAGAGACCAACCAAATCATTAAATGAAATTACTTATACACAGCTCTGTGCTATGCATTATAGGAAGAAAAACAAAGTTTCTCTTTCACAAAATTTATTTCTACTTCTGAATGTAGTTTGTTCGATTTTCAGTCATTTCAAAATACTGGTAGCTGGGTTTTCATTATTTAATTCTCTTATTCCTAGTAATTAAAGCAAATGATTATAAATAAAATCAATTTAAGTTAATTTTTTCCCTGCTATGCTAATACAAGAAAACATTCATCCGTAAGTAGTAAGTTACTCTTAACTGGATTTACATTTTGTGAAAGATTAAGTTTGCAACTAGATTTGGAAAATACTTAGAACAACTTTTTACAAGTTTACTTAGCTTTATCAATATCAACATTGATGGTTTTTCTGGGATACCTGCATCTACCTTTCAAGTGTTGCCATCAACACTGAAACACATTAGTGTTTATTTGCATATTATTTTACCACTTTCATAGTAATCACTAAACTATACACCTTCTAGCCTAAGTGAAAAACATTCAAGTGAATGAGGATGAAAGACTTCTACCTTCCTAAATGCTGCCATAAGAGGAGTTATCTTGCGGTTGTCTGCTGCATCCACATCTGCACCTGCTTGCACCAGTAACTGAACCACATCAAGATGTCCACCATTTGCTGCTAGCCACAATGGAGTGTTCCCCTTCTTGTTACGTACATCAATGTGAGCTCCCCTAAATGAATGACACAGATGTCATTGTTTAAAATGAAATGGAATGACAGAAATAACAGTAAAAATCAACTATAAAATTATGAAAAATATTCTATGAAAATTAAAAATTACAATATTGAGGGACTAAAATACATTCTTCTCTCAAAATTACAAAGAATTTCTAATCATCAAATTTAAAAGTCATCAAACTAAAAAATAATCATATACTAGTAATTGGTTTTCTTATTTTAAAAATAATGACTGCATAATTCTGAGTTTCAATCCTGAGAAAATGTGAATTTTATTTAGTAAAAAATAAAAAAGTACATCCTGTTAATAGCATAATTGATACATTAAATAAACAGTATGAAAGAGACATAAACAGTATCCTACGAGGCACTTGTATCTATTTCATATTACTTGTATGCATGTATTTGTATTATGTGGCTTCCGAAAAGAATGAATCTAAAAATAACATGCAGGTTTAGCACATAGTGGGCATCATGGTAAGTAAGACTCAAGGCGAATAACAGGTGATAGGAGCTACTACTAAATACTACTGCTTAGGACACCATGCAAATGTCTTCAAGACTGTTAAAGTAGGAAATCCAAGTACGCAGACAAGCATCTCTGGAAGACTGGCAGGCAACTTCTAAGTGACTGAAAGCGGGAATTCTCCTGGATTCTTTCTGATACCTTGAACAGTTCCAAAACTGTCACTTAAAAGCCCTGTTATTTAACCAAACAAAAAACAAGAAAATCAACAATAAACCTTAGACTGCTGCTAGGCTTTTAAGATTTCAAGTGATACTCTTTTTCGAAAACTCAAACTGTGTGGGAGATGTGAATATGGAGGACAACAGCTGGATGTTCAAACAGCTTATTATAGTGTTTTAAAAGTATATACACACCCAAGAAAGGAAGAAAAGAAGTATTTTTAGGTTGCACTGAAATAAATCAGACAATGTAGCATAGCTCTGGATAGGTGGGAAATAACAGAAGTAGGTCTAAAAAATAAAACAAAACATGCACTTGTAGTTTATAGAGGAAGTAATCACATTTGATTTTTTAATAGTACAATATGACCAGAGAGAATAGAAATCACTAGTAACACCACAGTCACGTATGAAGAGTATGGTAATATCATACCTGCCAATGAGAAGCTCACAGAATTTATAATGCCCTTTATCTGCTGCTATGGTTAAAGCTGTATCTCTTGAAGAGGGCACTGGAGGGGCATTAACATCAGCACCTTTATCCAAAAGAACTCGGCCCACCTCTGCATATCCACCAGAGGCAGCTTCCATTAGTGGTGTGAGGCCAGTCTAGGTTTAGTGAAAACAACAACAACAACTACACATAAGAGACTGAAAAGAGCTAAAATGTTTAAAGAACAATCTGGGGAGCAACATGATACAGTTGTTGCAAAGACTGACAACTAAATTTCAGCACTGACACCACTAGCCTGAGTTACAGTGTGATCTACTGAACGATATTCTATGCAATGCCAATTTATTGTGAAAAAAAAAATTGTGTAAGATGAAAGCACTTGGCATATAACTGGCGTTAATCAATGTTTCCTCTCTTCTTTCCTAATAGTACATATTTTCTAGCTGATAACCCTAACGTCATTATTACCTATAAAAATTTATTGAGGTATTTTCAAGAGTGCTTGAATATACAGAATGATTTCTGATTAAATACATGTAAGATAAATATGTTACTAGAAAATAATAATATAATTAGCATAATGCTACTGTACACCTTAAATATTAAAGCAATAAATCCATGTATAAATCTCAGACTTTTTCTTACCTTAGCTCTGTGTTCCACATTTGCTTTTCTATCAAGCAGAAGACTAACCACTTCAGTCCTTCCTTGGAAGCAGGCTAAGGTAAGGGCAGTGTTCCGATTGGTTTCTATTTGAGCATTTATGTCAGAGCCCATGTCTAACAGGAGCTTAACAGCAGCTGTGTGCCCATTCATAGCTGCTAACATCAGAGGAGAAATGCCCAATTTGCTACCAGTTCTGGGGGTGGAGGTATGGAGAGAACAAAGGGAAAGAATAAAAATTTTAAATGTCCCAGAAAAATTGGATGAACTCTAGAGAATTCTATTTCAGGATTTATTTAAGATTCTTTATTTTACAGGATTATTTAAAATAATAATTTTTCTCAGCCCTAGTAAGTCTGTGAGATACTACCAAGACTCCACTAGAAATCGTTTACCACCTTAGAACTAGAATACTTTCTGTATCTCATTCAACATAATGACTTGGGCTGAAAAGTGATTATTAAATTATTAAGTTATTATTAAGATGAATTTTCCATCCTAAAGCATATACTTGCTTAATAAAAACTCCTAAGAAAACTGTGTTTACTCTTAGTACCATTAGAAATAGAGTAAGTGGTGTTTTTTCAAGTTTATATCAATAGTTTTAAATACTTAAATAAAATTAATCTTAAAATAATCTCCAACAATTTGGATTCTAAATTTGTAATGAAGGCATTTCCTAAATATGGCATTAAAAATATAAGTGTTCTACAAATAGCTTTACCGTAACACTCTTAAGGGGCTTATAGAGAGAGAATAAAACTTGCCTAGAATTAATCTCAGCTCCTGCATTCAGTAATATTTTGATAATGTTCACATAGCCACCAGAAGCAGCCAGGCTTAGAGGTGTATAATCAGAAACATTCCTGTGCTCTTTGTTTGCCCCTCGAGCTAACAATAGCTCCACCACCTGAAAAGAAAAGAGGAAAAGTTGTGTTTTCTTATGGTGAAACAATTTGCAAGGTGTGCATTTCTGATTTATTTTTCTGATATATCGTAGAAGAAAAAAAAGAGGAAAGTCCTTTTTTGATCCTTTGCACAAAATCGGCCTCAAATGATAGCAATAAGTCTTAGAAGCAACAGAAACCTAGCTTCTCAATTAATATCCATTTTGGAATTTGCTAAAATGACAGTGTGTTCATGCAAGGTCTGGATCTCAGATCTGCTGGATCTCAGTGTGCTGTTGTGCAATGCTATTTTAAAAATTACTATTTCTGTTACTATATCACATAGTGGTAAAATAAAATAAGAGTTTTCATTTATATATGCAAATGTCTTTAGGATTTTTTTTTTAAGATTTTTTTTTTTTTTTAAGATTTTGTAAGCTTGAAATTACAACCCTGTGATCAAGAGTCTCATGCTCTAGCGACTGAGCCAGCCAAGGTGCCCCTCTTTAAAATATTTTTTTAAATTTATAATCAATAGCTAAATGTTTAAAAACTTGGAATAAAGCTAACGCTTATTTTTTCCCCAACATTTTATTACAAAAATTTCTAAACATACAGAGAAGTTTAAAAAATTTACATATATTCACTACCTAGATTCTACCATTAATATTCTACTACACTTACTTTATCATTATCTATTTGTCCATTTTTTTGATACATTTCATTTCAAAGTAAATTGTAGACAGCTGCAATTTTCCTTAAAATACATCAGCATATGTATCGTTATCTAGAATACTACTTGTTTTCAAATTTTGGGGGTAAAATTTGTAACTTACAGCAAACGCTCAAAACTTAAGTGTACATTTACTGAGTACTGAACAAATGCATAAAGCTAATGTAACCTAAATCCCTGTTATTTACTCATGCCCCTTTCCCAGTTAATCCCACCTATAGGCTAGTTTTATCTATCTCAGATCTTCGTATAGATGAAATCACAGTGTTTGAGAGTCATTTCTGTGTATTGTGTACCATTCCATTATATGAATATACAACAGTTTATCTATTCTCCTATTGATGAACACCTTTGAAGTCCCTAGTTTTTGGCAATTTTGAATAAAGTTGCTGTTCTTTCAGAAATACATTTTCACTGCTCATGGGTTCTACCTAGTAGAATTTCTGGATGTATGTTTAGTTTTATAAGAAATTGCCAGACCTTTTCTGAAAGTGGTTGTACCATTTACACTCCCACAAATAATAAGTAAGTCCTGGTTGCTCCACATCCTTGGCAAGATTGGCATTGCCGGTCTTTATCATTTTATAGCCATTGTAGTTGGGTGTGTGGTGGTAACCCACTGGGGTCTTAATTTGCATTCCCTGATAGCTAAAAAATATTTACCATTTATTGAAGTACTTATTGGCATCTTTTTCCATTATGCCATTTAATGCACAAAACAACTCTGACAAAAGTACTAGTATTTTCACCTTCATTTTACAAATGAGGCAAAGAAAAGTTAAAGATTATCCAAGATCGCAGCTCTTACCTTTCTCTTAGTACTAGCAAAATATCCTAAAATACTAACTGGGAAATAACAAATAAATGTTAATGAACAGTGCTTTGTCTTAATATATAAGCTGAAACTTTACTCATTTGAATAAAGCTATGACCAATTTTAGATTATGACTTCTGTCCATCACTTTTTTGCTCTTAGAGCCAATAACACTAGGTGGCTTATGCTACAAGGTTATAAAAACAAGACCAAAAAATGGCATTATGCTGTTTTATTTTACAGAGTCCCTTAAGCAAGAAAGTAAAAAACCGTAATCAAATTTCTAAAGTTATTAATTCCATTATGCAAAGATAACTGACCTTAGTTATCTCTCAAAGGGAATGGTCTATTCCGAGAAAGTAATAAACACTCAATATAAATTAGTTTGTGACTTTATAGTAAAATGAGTTTCCACTGTTTAATTACTTCAAAATACTTAACTGTTCCAATGACACCAAATCAAAGCAACAGAGTGTTATAGGCAAAATTATTACCCTAAAAGACTTCTATATCTGTTACAACCTCATTTGTTACATTTTAATAAGAATATATAAAGATTATAGTATGCTATTGGTTTTAATATTGCTTTGAGAGGAAGGAAATCAAATGATTTCTTTTTAATTCAACATTGAAAAATTTCTTATCATATAAAGCAAGAATTATTTCAAGCTATGTAATGATTGAAAATTTCAGTTAAATCAAAATTTTACTTTCATTATATTCTAAAACCGAAGCATTTACATTTCCAACTAAGTTTTTCAATTTAATGTTATTATTAATTATAAAAAGTTCTGCCATAACATTTCAATTTGAGATTAATGGGGATCTCTACATTGTCTGATGTGGCAGAAATTATTTATCAATTCAAGTAGCTTTTTTTTTTACTATCTTACTTCCTATCATTTGGGTTAAAATTCTTTTAATATACCAATCACCTCTACTGTGAAATACAGGGGGAAAAAAATGATACAAATGTATTCACATTATCAACCAGAAGGAACAGCATAGTAGAGACAGAGATGTCTCCTATGCAGAACATCTGTAGAAACAAGTACATCTAATTGTCCACACATATAATTATCTACTCCAAATATAAAGGAGCAAAAATCATACATTTAAAAATTATAGATTGGCCAAAGCAAAAATTTTATGGAAAAAACAAACAAAAAACTGTATTATCACTAGGCTCCAATTCTTTTTAATCCACAAGATAAAGGATCACTTTCTATTCATATACCATTTTATTAGATTTTCCATTCTTTCTGTGCAAGAATTATTCTATCTCTTAAAGAACTTTTATCTTCTAGTTTACTAAAAAACTCTAGTGGGTTTAGCTGATTCGAGTTCAATATAACCTGATGTGATATGATAGGCAAAGGACGGGGGCGGGGGGGGGCAGTTTAAGATGCGCAAACAGGGAGGTAATAATCTACCACTTCACTGGCCAGAATAATTTAGACATAATATTTCAGGAGGGATATGGACATAATGGGTAAAACAGCCAGGTGAGGGATTTGGAAAAGATATCTTCAAGCTAACAATCAAAAGACAGGACACACTTCAAATAGAGAATAGGTAACTGGCAGATACAGACTCAAATATCTGTAGATACAAGAGGGTATAAACCTCTTTCCATTAATTCAAAGAATAGAATTAAGAATAGTGGGGAAACTTAGGGAAGGCATAACTCAGGCTTGATAAACAGGAAACCTTTGTAACAGGATGGTGAAAAAAAAGCAAGACATTTTTAAGCTGAGTAAGAAACTGACCTGCATGATCTAGGGTACTTCTTAAGTCTAAGATTCAACAACTCCCTAACTGAGAAGTTGTCAGTCCATAGAGACAGCACAACCAGCTAATCAAAATCCTTACAACTGGATTTAAAAAACGGATTTAAAAAATTAGGTTGTCCAGCTGATCATTAAATTCCAGAAGAAGACACACATGGGTATAAAGCTATAATTTCTTGGGCCTATACCTGATTGCACCGGCTGTTCTACCCTACTTAAAAAATGAAAAGGTCATATAATCTTATCTGAGAATCTTTCTTCCAGAGTTGAGAAGGAGTGGGGGAAAAATGAAAAGAACAACTAAAAACTGAATTCTCTTAATTCCCTACTAATCTTATAGATAGAGAGCAACAGAGGCTGAGCTTAAGTACCTTTCATGCCAGGTACTCTGGGATAGGAAAAGATGAGTGACTATAGGCCCTGCTTATCAGGAGTTTACAGATTTGATTTGGAATGGCTTAATCACTCCCTTAGCCTGAATGCAACACACAGGGATTCCTATGGCAGGTACTACTTTTAGATGAACATAATAATGTTTAAACATGACTTTGCAGACATGATGGCTTATGCTAACAAAATACTTGAAATTATTACCTACTAGCAAAAAAACAGTTACTGTGGTAAATGAATCCAGATGTCAATCCATTATTCCCATAAAATCATGTAAGTTAAAATATATATTTGCTAAACAGATGGACAAATATTTCACTGGGGAAAATGTTACCTCCTGTCTTCCCCCAGAACAAGCCAAAGATAGCGGTGTGTCCTTGGTTCTTTCTGACTGGGCTTCAATGTCTGCACCATTGTCCAGCAATATTTCCACAACACCAACATGACCAGCTGTGGCAGCCAAGATAAGTGGAGTAAAACCTGGAAAAAAATAATGATCTTCTTACTACATGCTAAGCAAAAAAACCCCACTGTTTTTCATTATATGTAACTATCACAATAGGGCTGGAAGTAGTATTTCTTCACAGAACACAAATATTCCAGAAAAAAAATTAACAAACCTAAGCCCTACCTTTCTTGTCTCGGTGCTCAATACTAGCTCCTCTCTCTAGCAGTGTTTGTACCAGTTCCTCATGACCACCAGCACAGGCCAGTGTTAGCGCCGTATCATGATTACTTTCAGTCTATAAAAAATTAATTTTTTGATTAGCTTATTAATTTTAAAATAACAGATTATATAATATATACTTATACCAAATACAGACACAGATGTACCATTCTACTGTATCAAACATTTGGATATTAAGTTGTTTTTTTCCATCAGTGGCTAACTTGTGATTTTGTAAAGGCTATAAAATAACATTTGAACTTTATGGGCAATTCTTAAGCATGAAGGAAAAAAAGTATGATTTTCAACCATATGCTATTTACAACTACATGATTAAAAGAAATAGCGTTGGACTCACTTTTGCTTCTAGCCATTAATGGAGTAGCACAGAAAAGATTTGTCTTCCTATCTCAAACAATCGAAAAGAAAAGGACAAACTATTTGAAATGATGGTGTTTAGATAAGCAGTGCATGGCAGTGATCTCCAAGGGTAGAAAGGATTAAACTCAACTTATTGCCTGGAGAGTTTCAAGGCTGCTGTGTGCAGAGAGGGTACCCAAATACAGCCTGGCAATCTCCCTGAGTTGAGAAAACAGTTTGGAGCGGTCAGGATGGCTAGAATTCATGGGGCGGACTACTGGAGAGGAAAGCACGAAAAATTTTTACTCTAGGTATCTGCAGAGGGTCTTCGGCTGAGGCTTTCAGCTGAGTTCTGATCAGCACATGTGCATGAGGAAAATTATGAGAGGCCAAGGAGAGACCACCAGAAGGCATAACAACACTCAGAGCTTACACAGGGCCGGCAATAGTTTGGTTCCCACCAGCCAGAGTAGAGATACATCAAAACACACAGAACATCAAGTAAAATCCTCAGCAGTGGGGCCAAATTAGCTGTTCTAGGCCCACCTAACAAAGCTGAAAAGCAAGCCTTGATATGAAAAAAGGGCTTCCAAGTAACTTAACTGCAGTTGAGAACAAAGCCCCAAAATACTTAAAGAACAACAAACAAAAATACGTAATATACAGAATATTTTGAAAGACAAAGACAATCATAACTGACACATGATGCTTTATATAAGATTTACCTCTGACTTCTGCTAATGATAGTGACCAGTACTGGATGTACTGGCCATACTCCATTATAGTTTAAAATACTTATTTCATGAACAAAGTCTTCATACTTGGTACTCTAAACTTGTGCTACTAAAGAAAGGTAACTATACTAGCAATATGTGGCTATTGTACTAGAAATATAGCTATATATGTGACCACTCTAAGCTGTACGTAGAACAGATAGACTGAATTTTGAAGACCTTTAGTATAAAATAAAAATGTAAAATATCTCAGTTTTTTGGTTTTATGGATTACATGTTTAAACAGTAATATTATGGATATATGAAGCTAAATAAAATATATTCTTATAATGTATTTCACCTATTTTGTTTTGCTTTTTTTAATGTGGTTACTAGAAAATTTTAAATTTCATGTGTCTTGCATTATTTTTCTACTACTCAGCACTGTTCTAAGCTACTTTCCCTCATTTTTACATATACATCTTTATTACAATACTTATCACCAATTTCCTTATGCTAACATTAGTATGTGCCTATCACTCTCAGAGAACTATAAATTCCTGGGAGGTAATGAACATGTCTTATTCATGTTTGCATTCTCCACCTGTAAGTGATGCTTTGTCTAGGAAACAATAAATGATAGTTAAGTTCAACGAATGACAACGGCTATGCAGGGTCACAGATTCAAAGGCTATTACTAATAAAACAAAAGGCTACATATATGAAATATATTTATTGTGTTTATGTATTTATGTAATATTTATTATATTTATGTAATAAATATAAAAAGGAAAGGCATTTTCTCCCAGAAGGTCAATAACTCTAAAAACCAAACTCTATTATAAAAAATGAGTAACAAGAGACAAAAGGCAAAATCGATGGAGTCGAGAAATAAGAAAAAGCCTACTAGCCAGTGATGTAGAGGGAGACCGCAAAAGCTGCTCTGCAGAAGAGGCTGGCAGAGAGCAGAGCTACTGACTGCAGAGATCAGTGATGGCCACAAGGGAGAGATGCACCAACTACAACAATGAAGAAGGACATGAATACTTAAATGAGTGACAGCTCTGACTGTCTAATAGTATTTGATCTTCATTTCAGGTTTATTAGGAAGGAATTATTATGCTTGATTTCAGAAAAAAAGAGACAAAGCCTTAGAGAAATAATCCTCCAGTGGTCATACAAGCTAATAACTGATAAAGATTGGCTTAAAAAAACCAAGGAGATCTTGGATAACAAAATCCTGCTTTCCCCATTACATCATAAAGCAGTCCTAAGGCACAGCCAACTGAGGTCAATATAATGTTAAATCTATCTACCTTATATGCTTTCTATGTTAGTGACAATTAGAAAGTCAACTTTATGATGAAGAATCTGCTTTATGATGAAGTTTATTAGGTTTCTCGAAGTCTTCTGGGGGTTAAAGAGTAATTTAGGAAAGCAGTGCCAATCTTAAATAGAGAATGAAGAGACAAAATTTGAAAAAGATAAGCATGGAAGATTTTAGTGGATTAGTAAAATATTGGTTTTTTTCCCCCACATTATAAAACATCAGTTCAACTGATATTTATTAAGCACCTTTTATGTTCAAAGTACTCTGCGAGGTACTCCAGGGTTGACAAATATAAGTAAATACAGTTCCTGTTCACTAGGAGCTTAGTGATTACAGCACAGGGCAAATTTAGGTTCAAACTATGAAAGACATATAAACAAGGTATTATGAGAGTTGAATGAAAAAATACTTAAAACTAAGTAAAGAGGGCTTGTCAAATTCCTTGGGGAACTTAAGAGTGGGTAACTTCATTAACTAATACCTTATGATAATCTTCTAAGGACAATAATGAAAAAATTTAAACATTCTGAAGTAAGGTTTCCACCTTCCTAATAACACCTACATAATCCCCAAATGGTGAGAAACACTAACCTGATTTGCAATATGTCAAGAAACAAATTAACTGAAGCAGAAGTCTGGGTTAAAGTAACAATGGCTAACATGATATAGAATAAAAAAAAATGTGTTTTGAATATTACTAATCAAGGAAGTAATGATAATATAGGTGATGGCTTTCTGAAAGGTAATGTATCACTAAAGTCATGTTATGTTATACTGGTTAACAAGCCACATACATTGTCATATACCTATAACTAAAAGAAACCTGAAAGGGAGACCGGTGCCCAGAGGTTTCTTAAGAGCTCATTCAGGTGTACATTCTAAAGAAAATTTCCATTTAGCCCATGATGCCATAAAATATGCCATTTTTTACATGACAGATGTTGTTATGATGATTCTGGCTTATAAAAAATGCTAAAATTATATTCAATGTAAAAGTATTCTGTAAATTGACATGACTATTCAATTTTGTAAGACTGAAAAATAAGAAGGAATCATAAGACAGATGCAATATTAATGGAAAAAGCAACTGATTGAGTTGGAATGCAGGTGAAAAAACATACCTGAACTGTCTGTAAAAAACAATTACATCTAAGTAATTAATTTACTTCAAAAATCATTAGGACTTCAAGAGCTAACCTTTTTTTTAGACCTCCATAACACCTTCATAATTCTAGACACCTCATTCTCTAAACATGTCAGAGGTCACATATAAGATTCAAAAAAGATAAAAAAATAAAAAGGACAGCATTTAGGGAGAATGAGAATAATGAGAATATTCAGTAAAATAGCAAATAACCTACTTAAAACCTCACATAAACAATCAGAATGCATGCATTTTAAGTAGAATGCTTTAATGGCAGCATATTACATATCACCATTAACTCATTTTTCCTGGGCTCTTCAATTTTTCTCATTAAAATATTGTGATTAAACTGTTTTCTGTATTGCAAAACAAGAGAAAAATATCCAAATGATATTTATACCATTAAAGGCAAAACATAATTTTACACAGTTTCTAATTTCAGTCTTGGCATCTAAGTCAAATTTAATGCCTACCCTCTTTAAAAAATAATCATGGATATATGTTATTTATTAAAAACTGGAAAAAAGGCAAAATTGCATAAGGCAGTATTTATTTTTCTCTTTTTTGAAATGTACCAGAACCATTTATTCCATGTTCAAGGAAAGCCTTTAGAAGTTTGTGAATAAAAAAGACAAGCAGTTCAGAAATACATGAAAAACATGTGATAAGAAAAAGGGAAGGAGGGGATGGGAACACAAGTTTTACACCCATGAACAGAACAACTGGTACTTTCTCACTTTTAGTGGCTATTAGAGTCAATCAAAATCTCACACAAAATACAGAAAATACTTAACTCACCAGTATTCAACTCTAACCTTCAGCCAGATTTACTGTTTCATACAAAACCAAGTTCTTAAAAATTTGTAAATGATTAATTTCTATACGCAGAATACCCAGATATAAATTTCTTAAACCATTCTAGCAAAATAAAAATTGGAGCTATGCTATTAAAAGATAGTAAAACAGTGTCAAATAATTCCTTCAAATTATCATTTATTGATGTTTCCTACAATAAATTTTGATAATGGTACAGTATGTGGTATTAAGATATATTATAATATATATAATAATATAAATATATTAAAAATATCTAGACAAGGGGCGCCTGGCTAGCTTAGTCAGTAGAACATGCAACTTCTGATCTCAGGGTCAGGAGTTCAAGCCCCACATTGGGTACAGAACTTACTTAAAAAAAAAAAAAAAAGGATTAAAAAAAAATACATCTAGACAAACTTGATTCAATAAAACCATTACATGAAAGGTAGAGAGCCTGTGGCACATATGTGCACATTGAAGGTAACTTCTAGTTATATTACATAAAATTTGAAGGACCTTATAAATAATACAAACTCTCATCTTCAGCATTCTTCAAGTTCCAGAAATTAAACATGACTTCTGCTAATCCTTGTTAAAAATATTAGTTTCTGCATATAATGATCAATTAAAGAAGTTTAAAGTATGACCATTTTAAGAATCATTAGCATTTTTAAAAAGAGACACACTGAGGGTTTAAAAAAATTAACATTTCTTTGTCCTTCTTTAAATTAAGATTTGATATAAATATATGGTATGGCCAAGGAAACATGCTGAAAAGCTGCAAAGATGAAAGACACACGATCCTTTGCCATCTAGGTGGTAGACCTATTTTCTATAATCTAATTTACCAGGATTTAATATAATTAAAATCAATGTTCACACCTCAGATAAAAATTGAAAAACAGGTAGCATAGTGCAGTGGTTAAGAGCAGAGATTCTAGAGCCAGAATGCTAGGGTGGTTTGAAAGCTGGCTCCACCATAAATTACCTATTGGGCAAATAGTTAATATCTACAAGTCTCACCTTCCTCACCTGTAAAATGGGAATAATAACAGTATCTACACTTCATGAGGTTGTAATAAAGTTAAAGAAATTAGTATCTATAAAAGTGTTAAGAATGTATATGTTAAGGTTTGTTAAATAAACAAAAAAAAGATCCAAATATTAGAAAAAGTTTAATCTTTCTAAACAGAGGAAGAGTCTTGGTATGAATTTATCATATCACTTGTCTGTTACGGCACAGAACTATCACACATAAATCAAAATACCTATTATGTAAAATCTCATGGAATTTTTATTTTAGAATCTAGAAAAAACTTCAGATGAACTGAGAACAAAAGAATCTTTATTTTTACTGCTTAACATGCCTGCTTGGTATCATAAAAACTAGTAAAATTTAAAAACATCAAAAACTGAAGAAAAATAGTGAACTATTATTTCTGAATATTTACTTGGTATTACGTTTTCCAAAGCAGGAACTTTCTAAACTCCATGACAAGTAGTATAACTCATGATAGGCTAACCGAATTCAAAAATCTTGATATAGAGACCAGATAAGAAGGAACAGATATTTAAGGAGAATACAGTCAAATCTTTTTACATAAGCATGTCAACTACAATTAAAATGTAAGGTTTTTTGGTTTTTGTTTTGTTTTTAGATTTTATTTATTCATCTGAGACAGACAGAGACAGCACAAACAGGAGGAGAAGCAGTGGGAGAGGAGGAAGCATACTCCCCGCTGAGTCGGGAGCCTGACACAAGGCTAGATCCCAGGACCTAGAAATCATGACCTGAGCCAAAGGCAGATGCTTAACCATCTGAGCCACCCAGGTGCCCCAAATGTAAGTTTTTGAAATAAAAAAAAATTTAAAAATATTTCTATGTTTCTTAAAAATTAGTTTATAATAGAGCAATGGCTGGTTGAGTACTATAGTCCAGTAAAATTTCACCACCACTATAAGAATTTCAAATTTAATAAAATCATGATCATAGTTGGAAGAACTTTTTCTGTGGCTATTTTATACAAAAGCATTTTTTAAAAATCCTTTTATATTTTGGTGAAGATTTTAGTTTTGCTTATGGTTCAATTCTTGATTCCATAAAAACTAAAACATGTATCTCTCCTTAAAACATAATAGCCGCAGGTTACAACCTAACAGCCTCAGAGCACAAAAGACTGGAGGAAAATAATACAGATTCAATACCAAGTTCAACCCAGTTGAAGATAATGCTGTATCTTGATTGATTGATTGAGGGGGGAGGGAGAAAGTGTGAGTGGGGGGAGGGGCAGAGGGGGAGGAAAAGAGAGAACCCTAAGCAGGCTCCGCACCCAGCACAGAGCTCCACGTAGGACTCTATCCCACAACCCTGAGATCAAGAGTCGAATGCTCAACCAACAGAGCCACCCAGGCAACCCTATACTGCTATGTCATTATTAAATACAAATCACTGTGGTTCATCCAATGAATACTTCATAATTTTTTAAAAGGCTATATAGAGTATGGTAGTTAAGGAGGGAGCCTTTAAAATCAGACCCACTTAAGTTTGACTCTCAACCCTCACTTCTTAGCTAAATGAAGTGATCTTTTTTTTAAGATTTCATTTAATTTGACAGAGACAGCGAGAGAGGCAACACAAGCAGGGGGAGTGGGAGAGGGAGAAGCAGGCCTCCCGCCGAGCAGGGAGCCCGATGTGGGGCTCGATCCCAGGACCCTGGGATCATGACCCGAGCTGAATGTAGAAGCTTAACGACTGAGCCACCCAGGCTCAATGAAATGATCTTAAGCAAAATGTTTAATCTCTCTCTTAGCCTTGGTTTCTTCATCAGGGAAATGGGTATTTAAAAGTAGCTACTTCATATATGTGGTCTGAAGATTAGACAATTCCTTAAAATTGCCCTTGACAATTCTAAGTGCTCAAAAAAAAGTTAGCACATACAACACAATGAAAATTTGGAAAGCAAGTTAAGAATAGAAGTGAAATTTCTTTTTCTTTCACAACATTACCAAGAAACACTTTAATGAAAAGGAAGCTTTATTTTCATAGGTTAAGAGTACACGGTGTTAATAGGTCACACACACACACACACATCCTTCCTGAAATTCAGGTTTATAAAGAACTGATCATTTACAAAATAAAAAGTTTTATCATGTATACTGCCACCCTCCCTGCCCCAGGTATTAATCAAAACACAAAACTAAACTGCAAACATTTCTCAGTCCTGAATAAGGCCATATACTCTTTACCTTGTTCAGCAGTCTTCTAAACTAAGCCTCTTAGCATTTCTTCAGGACAAAACACCAGCTATCCTCCCCTTTCCAACTTCATTCTGCCCTGAGATTACATGGTAAACTAATTTTTTTTAAAATTGAGCTTTTTGGGGCACCTGGGTGGCTCAGTTGGTTAAGCGACTGCCTTCGGCTCAGGTCATGATCCTGGAGTCCCGGGATCGAGTCCCGCATCGGGCTCCCTGCTCAGCGGGGAGTCTGCTTCTCCCTCTGACCCTCCTCCCTCTCATGCTCTCTGTCTCTCATTCTCTCTCTCTCAAATAAATAAAATCTTAAAAAAAAAAAAATTAAAAAAAAAATAAATAAAATTGGGCTTTTTGTTTTGTTTTGACTTAGTGCTGCAGACATAGACACACAGATTCACTACATGTTTCAGTCAACAAGATCAGAACTTTCCAAGACAATATAAATGCAAATGAGTATATACGATACATAAAGGGGAAGACTCTTTTCTTTTCTGTGTGATTCATTATGAATTAGAAGCATATCTTCTAATTCAAGATCAGAAGAAAAGACAAACTAATCTTAAATAAGTTATTTCTTTTAACATCCTCTTCTAAAGTTAAAAAAAAGTTACTTGATGACCTTGGAAACCAGACCATCAAATTAATTATCAATAATAATCTGTACTTAGTATTTAACTTTTTAAAATGTGGATTCTAATTTATTCATAACGTGGCTCAGATCTCTGCCTAGAGAAAAAGCAGTCTAAGATGATTTAAATTACTGATTAATGTTTTTACTGATGGCATGATTTTAGTTAAAAACCATCCCTCCAGAATTTGGAGCTTACCTGTGCATCAATATCAATGGCAGGGTAGATAGGAAGCATGGCTGAAGGAGAGATGATAGGACTTGGAGTTGGAGTCTGAGGTTGGGAAATGGAAGCAGCGATACTGTGGGTAGGAGTGTTTGACATTGCAGATGCTCTTCCACTGACTGCTGTTGAACAAAATAACTGCACTTAATAAGGATGAAACACTGTTAGGTAACAGTAAGAAATAATTATTAGAAAATATTTAAAGACTTCTTAAAACAAAATGTCTATAAGTAGACTGCCATAGCACTAATAACTCATTTTTCTGGTTATTTTATTTCTGACTTCGGACAACAGTCTAAAAATAGGAAGTATATTGAGAATAACCCTTTTTCTAAATAATAATCCATCCGAAAATAAAATTCCCCTCTTACAGTATATAATCATAAAACTTCAATTCAAAATAACCCTGAAAACAAAAATATTTTTATGAATTAAAATTGAATATAAATGCAAATGGATAGTTGTCCACTGTATCTTCTTAATCAGAAAAGGAATAAAAGGTAAAAAAGTCAAGTTCAGAGGGAGAAAAGTATGAGTTTTAACCTACTACTTTCACACCTCATATTCTAATGAAAGTAATTTCATTGTTTGGGGTGAACCTCACTCTCGAATCATTTAAAACTCTCCCTACTCTTTTACTAACTGCAGACAAGGGGATGATTATATTCTGAATGGTAGCCCTTTACTATGACAGCATAGTAAAATATAAAAATTTGATCCTTACACAGAAATATAGTTTCTCACATGTAGAATTATTCTGAGGGGGTTAAAATGCCCACCAATCAATCCAGCAATCACACTGACTTAAGAGGACAAAATTAAAAGATTAAGGTAGAAATAAATGTATGCACGCAATCAACCTTCAAATATAGATTATTGTCAGTTCTAAGTATAATTTTGCCTTGATATTATTTTAACCAAAATATGCAAATTAAGAAGGGGCTGATTAGGTCAGTACTTGGGGTGGGAGAACTCCAAAGGTGGTGGCAACTGAGGGTATTTTACTCCCTCATGAATTCACTTCTGGAGTTGATATGTGAACATCAATCCTTTCTTCCCCCCACCCCCAATTAAAAATGCTGTAGCACTGAAGTCTGGGCATTAATCTTTGAATGGTCAACAGCAGTGTGGATGTGTGTTACCAACATACTTATCAACTACATCAGACAGAAAACAATCATGATTCACAACTGGATCTGAAACCAGGCAAAAGAGGTTATGATCCTGCCAAGAATAAAACTGAAATTGACCTTATTTAACAATTATAAACATGATTGTCAATTAAGAAATCTATTTCACATGAAATCCTTAGTTCAGGCACAAACATACACTATATACATTATAGCAACACACATTCTATAATTATACATTTTTAAGTCCAATTAAAAGCTAAAGGAAAAACAAAGAAGGAAACAAAACAAAACAAAACACTGTTTGAATCCTTAGGGATCCAGATTAATAGGAAAGGGCATATACTAATATATTAAATTGATCATCTAATGACCTTGATATTGTTAATCCATATAAATAGTTTTGTATGTTAAGAAAAAAAAATCAAGATAATTTAAATGCACATATTCTAGATATAAATTTCAAAACCATATAAAATCTATGCCTCTTAAAATAGGTTCCATAATCTCCTGATTGATTTTCACAAATGAAAATGCTAAATACCAAAATTAGCTTAAACAGAATGAACACCAATCTGTCCAAAGAACTGGTTTTTATTTCATGATACTAAACAAAAAGTCTAAGCTTTATTGTTAAATAACTATATTGTTATTTACATTTTAATTGGAATAAGTTCTTTTAAAGAACATACAAAAATGAGTTTTCTTATTTTTGGTCAAATAGTTTGTTCTTATCATCTCATCTAAAAGGAGATAGGAAAAACCAGTTTCCTCATTTCATTTCCTTTGGGGTACTTATGAAATTGGTTTATTAAAATGAAATAACTGCCTGTCACTCATCCATGCCCTACAGTGAAAAGTAACAACTTGTAAATATGCAGGGATCTGAAGGAACTCTGGTACAGATCTTTATATGTGGTACTTCATTTTAGGGTTAGATTTTAGAGAAGGAGAACCAGATGCTCTAGAAAAGTTTTACATCAGGTAGGGAAAGAAGGAACTTGAGAGCACAGCAAAGGCAAGGTGTTAAGACTGATTAAACAGGAACTGATTTTGCTATGGTAAGTACAGAGAACAGGGAAGACAGAAGATTTGGACCAGCAAAGTACTAGAAAAAGACTGAACCTTACAAGAGCAGTCTAATAAATGGGAACTAAAGAATACAGAACAGGTTATGCTGCAGTGGGGAAGGAAGACTGAGCCCAAAGAGGTTATAAAATATCAAGAAACCCAAAGAAAGAAATGGAAATGATCATTAGTCGACCTAAAGAACAAGTACTAACACAGAAGCTGTTTAACGAAAAGTCGTGGAAGTGAGTGCATGAGTATATGTGTATGTTTATGCATCTGCACATGCATGATGACAGGGATGGATTGCAGGTAAGTGGCTAGATGTTTTTAATCCTGTTCTTCTTTCTGGTCATCTCTCCTCTCTCCATATAAATGGGTACAATAAAGGGGTAAAGTATTTTTATAATGAGAAGTATTTGTCATATTTCCTAAAAAATTACGTGCTTTTGAAATTCTTGTATATGAAAACACCTGGAACACATAGGCAGAATTTAATTGTTTTTGTTTGGTAAACCAATCAACAGAAAAACTACTTTACAAATCTCTGGTAATTCTGATCAGCATAAAAATTGTACAACTGTCAAATCAACGTTGATAAGTATGCCCAAGAACATCATGTAAATTCTAATAGCATATCAAAAAATTTTTAAGTATTCATTGGCAGGAATGTCCAGTCTTGATTTAATTGGATAAATAATACTTAACTCTATAAATTCTTTGGTAGTTCAACTGACATAAGAGAAAAGAACACCATGATGACCTAGACTAATGGCCATGTAAGTAATAGCAAATTTGGGACTTTTGGCTACTGTGCTCCAATTTTCATAAGATACTAATGTTTCTTGTATTCCCAATTATTTTAACCAGCTAATGGTGATTAATAGTAATTCTCAAATCTATAGAAAAGTTTTATATTTATCAATAAAAGAATCCTTACAGTTCTTACTAATGATTAATTGCATTTTTTCCAAGGTAGTTATTACACCCTCTAAGATTAGCAGAGACCTTCATTCCATATAATACTGCTGGGGTGATACTAAAAGAAAACTGGGAAACTTAAGAGCAATTTGTTAAGTATAAAATCTGTCTCATTAGCTGGTGCTTAGTTTCTGAATGTTGGCTAAATATCTCAACACTACACAATTTAATTTTCTTTTATTCTTTTAAAAGATGAAAGACAAATTATATATAATTTCATCATAATATGTAACGCTGCCACAACAGTTTCAAAATTAGAAAAACTCAATCATCTTTTAAGTATAGACCAAAGAATAAAAAAAGGGGAAGACAGCAGATAAAAACCACCAAATGTAACAATTTACTACCTTTCTTTTTCCCTTTTCCTTCCTTTTCGAATTTTTTTTACCTTTTTCTTAAATAAAGAAAATTATCCTTCTTAGTATAGCATGCTTATGGTTTATAATCCTATAAAATCTCATTCTACTTTGTTACAGAACTCGTGAAAAGTAAGTACCAAAAATTAGAATCATTAAAACAACCTTCTAAAATATTTCCTCTTGCCAATGAAACTAATTATAATGGAATAAAATTTCTTTGGCTACACATTTAAAGATATATCATTTATGATACTGTCAGGGAACCACACCTTCCCACAATACAATTAGAAAGAGACTACACATTAACATTCACAGGGGATAAAACCACTGACATACAGTATAATCAAACCCTATTTGGTTTGGTACTTTATTATTGTTGTAAAGGTGTTTAAATTTTGTTTGTTTGTTTTTTAAATATCCATCAGGTTTGAAGTCTGATCCATTAGGATATAAAGTATTTCTGTTCACAAATAAGCTTCCTGATGTGTCCTAGTAGTTTTGTACTTCAACTTCTATCAATTTCCCAGTTTATTGGTGTGAATACAGAAGCACAAAAGCCAAAATTCAATCTTAGTATTCTGAACTTAAAGAGAAAAAAGAAAAACAAAAACAAAAACTCAAACATCAACCCCACTCCTAAAAAAAACCTAGATTCCCAGCCTACCCAGCTAAGCCAAAAAGTTTCAGTCACTTGTATTGCATGAACTAATCTTTAATTCGACCTGTATCCGTCTGAGAACTTCTGAGATTGAACTAGTATTTCTAAGGATATACATGAGTCAAGAGTCCAAAAATAGTTCTCAAGTTGGGTAACGGCAAAAAATTCTGGCACACTCTTACTCGCCTTAAGCAAATCATATTTGATACCTGCTCATAACAATATAAACCCACCTGCCATGATGTCATCCAGCGTGTCATTGAGGGTCTGAGCAGGGCTGGCTACCATTAACCCTTGTTGTGTTTCTGTCAGAATTCCTTGCCCCAGCCCTGCCAACTGTGCTTGGCCCAGTACTGGCTGTCCAACTATCACTCCTTGCAGTTCTGTAAGATTTGCGATGGACCCCGGAGGCAAGGGACCTGCCGCCAGAGGCAAAGCTTGAGGCATGGCCAGAGGCTGGATTGGTGCAAAACCCATCTGAGCAGCAGTCTGCTGGGGTTCATCTTTAAGCAAAACGGGATCCACTTGCTGTAACCGTGCATAGTCTCCCTCGGAAAGCTGTTCTCCAACCCCAACAGGAGTTAGTAGTCCCAGATGTTGGCAAGACTGTTGTTGCTGCTGTTGAAGTTGAATTCTTTGAGCTTTAACCTCTAGATACTGCTTTTTTAGCTGCTGCTGAGTTTTCAGTTGTAACTCTCGTTCTACTTTCTGTAGTTCCTCCAAAATCTTTTGTTTCTTCTGAATTTGTTCCTCCCTTGTTTTGTTCAGCTCCTCGATCTTCTCCTTGGTAAGTTGGTCAGCGTGAGCCAGTTCCAAGGACTGCAGCTGTGCATTCTTTTCTATGGCTTCTTTTATCCTCTGTTCCAGTTCTGTTAACTTTCCCTGAGCCTCTTCTACAATGCTCTCTGGAGACTGATTGGTGATGTAACCCTGTACATCCTGGCTGTTTGCTGGCAAATGGCTGCTGGACTTTTGTTTAGAAGCAGCTGTGTGAAAAAGAAACCCCCTCAGAAGTGCACATGAATGGCATCCTCATTACAGAGTTACTGTTGGGAGGTTTAGTGCCAACAGTTATGCACCAAGTTATCATATCCATACAAGGTGAAAATGCACTGTTAAGGAGTTTAAAAACAAATCCACCTTCTTTATCATAAATATAGAATGTATGTATTTTATGTGCATAGAGTAATCTTTGGGAAATTAATTTTAAAAATATCACATGGCTAAAATTAGACAATAGAGGGATGCAGGTCTGTGATATCGAAGTGATGCAATTAAAGTAAAATCTAAGGCTATGTGTAGACACTTCATCTGGTCATAAAGATGTAAAAACTTATCATAAGAACAGAAAAATAATGCTAGATTATTAAGATGTAGGGAAAACTTAGACCTCTAAGTCAAGGTTTTTCCACATTTGATAGTCTATGCCTTTTAAACACACACACATACACACAAAGAGTACCCAAACCACTGAGAAGTACCAGGAAATTTAAATCCAACTAAAATTTGTCTTTGTTGGGGGCCTACCATCTTCAAGACTGATAAAGGCAAGATATAAATTCACATATTCACACAGCTACCTGGCCAGTAGAGAATTGGGATTCAGTTTCCCTGGAAGAAAAGATGTTGGACTACGCCATCCACTGTATCTTCTGACAGCCAGGTGAATAAACAGATCTGGCTATGGGTATAGCAATCAGTTGTTTGCTACACCAACTGAAAAAGGTGCCAAGGCTCTAGATTGGTAGTAGTGACTGTAAAGAGCTGGTGGAAATACTTAGTATTCTTGTTGGTAAAATAATATAGGTAACCAAAAACCAAAAAATTAAAACTGCATTGGTTCTTCAGGTGAAACTTTTAAAAAGAAAAACTGATTGAAACTGGTAGCTGTAATGTTTTGGGACATAATTTAAGAACATGCATGGTGTAACATCCACAAGTCAAATATGGACCTCAGAATTATAGAGAAACAAACAAGCATATCTGAAGTAACTTTCAGTTATTGGTTGAGAAAAGGTAGCCCAGATATAAAATCTACATTAAACCAGTTATTCTAAAATATATTTTAATTTTGATCTAAATTGCTAAGCTTTATATCACTACAGAAATTTAAGTAATTTACAAAAATGTCATCCAACTATACCCAGGTCTAATATTTTAACATGAATAGAAATGACCAGTTATTAGAGGAAATCATGGATAATCAGAACTGCATCAAAGATGAGCATCTGAATTTCTCCTGCTAATATTGATAATCCTAGCATAAATTAGTGCTATTAACTATCTTCTCTCCCAATAACATGCCTTATTCATCAGTAAAAAAAATCTTTTGTCAACTTAGTAAAATTCACTTTTTGTGGAAAAATAATTATAAATGGATAGTTTTTTTGGTAATCTTATCATTTTTACCCAGATAACATGTAAAAGACAGTCTTCAGAAGTGTAACTGACCTTTATTCCTGATGGGAAGAGTAGTGGCAATATTGGCAGGTGGTTTGTCAGGCTCCTGAGGTGGGACAACCATGGGCAGTGCTTGAACTGGGACACGAGGAGCCTAAAACAAAGGAAACTGATTATATTTCTGCTTTTCCTACACACTCCATTAAATAATAGGCTTCAAATTAAGAATAAGTTACAAAGACTTCTTCAAAATATTTGTAACGTGGTATTAATCTCAGACATTGACATATTTACTTAAAATATGTTGGCACCAAATTATTTTCCATAACACTTTTTTAATGGACTTTTGAATTCAAATGGTTATTCTGGCCATAGTAAGAAAGCAAAGCAAAATCACATCAATCTACAATCTGAATGTTATACCAGATTATATCATTAACCATTTCAACTACATAGCTATAACGAGAACTACATATTATAACAAAAAATAGTCAAATCTAGTTTAAACTGAAACTATGAGCCAAAGAGGGATAAAGAAGATATAAAATGCTTTAGTTTTGAATCTTACCCTATTTAAATCGTGGGATGGGGGGGTTAACTGAGTGACATCTGGTGGAGGGGCTGAAAGCAAGTTATTAGGATAGTCCAAAAGATAGCAAACAACACTTGTATGGCCACCTTTTGCTGCTTCTATCAACATAGTTGAGCCATCCTAAGAGTGGATATGGAAGGAGAAAAAATATTTTAAAAAATAAGTTAATTTACAGAACCATTAAGGAAGATAAAGCCAACAGGCCCCAGATATATTCAAATCTTAGGTTTAGTAAAGAACATTTTCTTCTAATAAAACAGAAAAAAATAAATATGCTTAAAATGCCATTATAAATGGAACTGGTAGATGATATCTTGTAATGCTCAAGAGGAAGAATTAATTCACAATGTTACCGGAAACATATGAGTTACATACTTTTAAACGATGAGTAGGATCTGCCCCATGAGCCAAAAGTAGTTCCACCACTGCCAGATGACCCCCTGCACAAGCCAGGGACAGTACAGTGTGGTCATTATTAGCTGTGGTTCTATTCACATTTGCTCCTAAAACAGACAAGACATGGAAAATCATGTTGGTAGACTGCTATTTCTTATGGTAAATTTCAAAATCATAAAGAGAGAATAGCATAATGAAAATCCACATGCCCCTTACCCAGCTTCAGTGATTATAAACACACAATCTCATTTCACATAAACCCTTATCAATTCTCCTCTCCCATCTTGAATTACTCTAAAACAAATCCCAGACAAACATGACATAATTTCATCCATAAACATTTCAGTATGCACTTGTAGAAGATAAGGCTAAATGCATACATTACTCCTAATGTAATCACTGTTCTAAAAAGTAAAGCAAAAAATTTTATCTACATGTTCTCTCATTAAAAAAAAAAAGATTAAAAAGCAATAAAAATAAATTACACTGCCCTCTACAGGCTAACTACGTAGAGAATTAACAAGGAATACAAAGTAATAGTACTACCGAATAGAGAGTAATAGTACTATCAATTTCTTTCACTGGGAAATATCTGAGAATGAAAACGGGTACACCGCGCCCTCGATATGAATTCATCCCTGATTTAAAGCATTGTGCTAGGCAATGTGGGAAATGGAAATAAAGTAGCAGGAAGAAAATGGAACCAGACTCACTGAAATTTATCAGAGAAGAGAGAGGATAGTGATTATGTAAATAATTCCGTTCTTGATAATACTATGGTATAAACATATATCACAAGTAAGTGTTCGAATTGCCTAAAACAATCTGACCAGTAAGTTATTTCTGATTTATTTTCTTTTCCTATAAACAATTACAAACTTGAGATTTCTTTAGTATTTATGCTAAGGAAATAGTATATATTGCCTTTTTAATTATACATGGCTTGCACAGCCTTTCTTTTATGAATATTGAGTCAAAATCTTTCATCTTCTGTACTTTAAGAATATGATGAAATCTGCTTAAAAACTGTTTTAAGTTGAGCTTATGTAGTGAACACCTAACAAATAACTTAAAGGAATAAGATGCTACTTTTGTCATTTAAAATGGTTTTTGATATTCAAAGTAGAATTACTGACCATAGATGAAATCCTCCATGCATTTTGGCATTTTTGTCACATTTCAATTTTGAATACTTTTTGTGCTATATTTATGACCATTTCTCTATATTTTACAAAGAAGGAAACTTAGGCCCAAGGAAATGTAAAGCTGAAGAGCGACTTGCCCTTAAGTATCTCAGTGGCATAAACATAAAAATCCAGGTTTCAAGATATATTATTAAGTAAACAGAACGGACTTTAGGTTATCTAAACCCTCAAAGTTTTACACAGAGATATTTTTCTTTATAAAAGTGTTTCTCAACAAGGGTGGTACTCAGTATGACAATTCTCCCTAGTTTTTGGAAATATTCTATGCATTGCAGGATGTTTATCAACCACCCACTCACAAAATCTCAGTAGCATCCCTCCACCAGTGATAACCCCCAAAACGTCCTTTACCTCTCAATCTCTAAATACCCCAGGGCAACGGGGCGCCTGGGTGGCTCAGCCATTAAGCGTCTGCCTTCGGCTCAGGTCATGATCCTGGGGTCCTGGGATCGAGCCCCGCATCAGGCTCCCTGCTTGGCGGGAAGCCTGCTTCTCCCTCTCCCACTCCCCCTACTTGTGTTCCCTCTCTCGCTGTGTCTCTCTCTATCAAAAAAATAAAATCTTAAAATAAATAAATAAATAAATAAATAAATAAATAAATAAATACCCCAGGGCAGGGAATAGACATCTTTGGGGAAAAAACTACTGTTTTACACAAACCTACCTTTACTAATTAAGAACTGAACAGTACAAACATGACCAGCTCTTGCAGCTTTCATTAAAGGAGTCCTTCCACCTTCAGATTCATGTTCCTATTAAAAAAAACACAGATATTTAATTGCTAGCGAACAAGTGCTCTTTTTCATGAAAATCAAAAGGAAAAGAATTGGACTAATTTCTGAATCTAAATATATTAAATATCATGCTTTGAAACAAATTAAGGAATACATCTTTAAATTTTAAAAATCTCAAATTAGAAACATGCTCTACAGGTAAAATTTAAGAACTGAAGTTATATTCATGTGATTGTGACGCCCTCATCTAAATCCACCTGGGTCATTTTTCCTTCTCTCTGTACCAAAAGGACTGTGTAACTTGAACAGTGAATGGCACTCCAGCACAGCCCTCTCCAATCAGCATTATCAGCATTATCCTTATCCACTCCAAGTGATTTTCCTTTTGTTAGTTTGTATCCTACCTATATGAATTTCTGCAGTACATCATTCCCTTTCTTTACAAATTCCCATTAACTCCATGTTACTTTATATGAAAACATCAAAGTTAATGATCTAATACCTGGAAAACTACCAATTATAAGGTATTACTAGAGATTTCTGGGTCTCAAAAGGATGGAGAATCTATTGCATTCTTGTGATTGCTGAGTAATTGAGAACACTATTGGAGAAATTTTCAGATCTTAGAATATAAGGTTTGAGGTTGAGGGAAAAAATATAGTTTATAAAGCATTATATACATAAACATTCACATCTGATGAATAACTTTTGATTTTTCTCTTAAGCCACACACTAAGTTGTTCAAATTGCAATGAACTAAGCAAAGTTACATTGCTATATGTTTCACAGCTACTGTGGTAAACACTGGAAATACAGTATTTAAGCTGAAAGTTCAAAATCTAATATGGAAGAAATACGCTCACAACTACCAAGAGTATAACATGTGTCATAACCACTTCAAAAGCTACTAACACACACAGAACTGATAGACACCACAATAGTAATCCAATTTCCAATTTCACCCTTTCCTTCCATAAATGAGGAAAGAGAAATGAAACAAAGTTTACAAAACTAGTCAATGGAGGAGTCTGTTTCTGCTCGCATGTGTGAATTTTTGTCATAAACTATGAACTTCTACAGGAATACACATTTGCTTGTTAATCTCAGCCCCATGAACATATGGTTACTTAAATTTTAACTACCTTCTCATGTCTCACTTCTACTCTCTCATATGCTAAACTGGAAGAGTATTTTCCCCACACATTTGCTTTTGCTTCCCTACCTCTCAGGCTGTACTCACACTATTTCTTCCAACTGGAATATCTCTTTTGTCCTAACATTGCCCTATCTACCTTTTTAAACCTTACCCAACCCAAAATATAATATCTCAGGTGACCTCTTGACCTCCCCTGAGCTTCTTTACTGTCTGTACTTTCCCTATGACATCTCTTTATAATCTACCATACAATGACTTCAGTATTTCATCCTTTTTACTAAATTATAAGTTATTTGAGGGAAAAGACTACTTATTAAATACTTATCTTCCAAAAATAGCTAAGTACCTAAAAAAAATTAATTTGTACTATAATATTAATATAAAATTTCCCCTTTATTATGGACAACAAGGGGTAATAGATTGGATAACCCTGTTAACAAGAAGAATAATAACAGACACCAAACAATGTGGAAAGAAAATATGATCAAATGAGAGAAAAAATGGCAAAAAGCCCAACACAAAATTAGAAGAAATACTTTTTGTCTGTAATCTCCATAGAACTTTAAATTAATTTCTTGCCTTGGCTTTAAGTATTAGGATTTAAAAAGTGACAAAGCTTACCAGATCTGCTCCTGCCTGAAGTAGGACATCTGCTACATCAGTATGACCATTTTCACAGGCGTATGTTAGTGCTGTATCCCCTGTTGCTGTTGTTGCATGAACATTAGCTCCTGTGGTAGTATTAAACAATAGAGACTTAAAAGAATCATAAGACATAAATGATGGACATAGAAATTTCTTCTACATAAGCCCTATCTTCTCAAATTAGAAAAAATAGCCCTATCCATTTCTAGAAATAGAGAATATTACCTGCATCTTTAAAAGCAAGAGAAAAAAACAGAAATAGATTACTGCTTGAAATTAAAGCTACAGATACTTCAAACGTAATAAGGTAAATTATTTATGCAGAATACACACAATAGTTCACCACATTTTTACCACATTTTTAAATACACATTCAATGTGTAAGAAAAAAATTATTTGCATTGTAACATTTTTACTTGAACAAATCATGTAAAAACTCCTCCCAAATGCAAAAATGCCTACCTGCAGCTAATAAGTATTTAACTAACTCCAAATGACCTTCTTGAGCAGCTTCCATTAAAGGGGTAGAACACCCTAGTTCAATATCAGCTCCCGCCTTTATTAGAAAGTCTGCCACTTCCAGAAAGCCTCCACAGCAAGCCAGAGTCAAGGCAGTTTCTTGAGTTTCTTCTGTCTGTGCATTGATATTTGCTCCTAGAATAAAAATTCTAATTATTTTAAGAAAGTCATTAACTTATTCCAGAGATAAGCAAAACATGTTGTTTCCTAATAACTATACTTCAAAAATGAATGTATTATTTTACTAAATAATAAAGTACTTCTTCCCTACTCTGGGAGGCGATTACAAATAAAGAAAATTATTGGGGCGCCTGGGTGGCTCAGTCGTTAAGCCTCTGCCTTCGGCTTAGGGTCCTGGGATCGAACCCCGCATCGGGCTCCCTGCTCAGCAGGAAGCCTGCTTCTCCCTCTCCCACTCCCCCTTGCTTGTGTTCCTGCTCTCGCTATCTCTGTCAAATAAATAAATAAAATCTTAAAAAAAAAAATTAAAAATACATCCTGAGTCCATATTTGATGCACACAGCTGCAGTAAGATTTATTCAGCCAGAAGGTACAAACCAGGTGATAAAAGGACTTAGAAAAGTAAACTACATTCCCTTTTTATAAAGATTCAAAATTAATGATGATGATGATGACAGCTAACATTTAATACACTATTACTATTTGCCAGGTAATATCTGAAAGCATTTTACATGTTCTATATTAGCTCCATTTTACAGCTAAGGAAATTGAAGTTCATTAACTTGCCCAAGGCCACATTATTATCACTACTACCACCATCACCAGAGCTAACACTTAATAGGCACTATAGACAAACAACGTTCAAAAAGCCTTATATATAATATATATAAACGTCACAACAACCCTACAGATGACAAAATTAAGGCACAGAAGGTTAGAAACTTGCCTGAAGTTACAAAATTGGCAAGCACTGGAGCTGTGATTCAAATGTAAGAAGTGTGCTACACCTCTGCTTTTAAAGTTCTAGCCAATATGGTTTTTTAAAAATGTGCCACTCCTCTTAAATTTGTCCAAACAAAAACTTTACTATTAAAAGAGATATAAAACTTGGCTACAAATATATAGAGAGATAGGAGATTACTTCTAAACTAAAGGTATCTTAATAATGTAAAATAACTGTGTCACTTTTCCCAAACATAAAGTCCGCTATGTGCTGACTCCTTGAGAGCAAGAAATAAGTGCATTCTTGCATTCTCATCAAGTTAGTCCTTATGGTAGGATTCCCCACAGTGTGTTTCATGAAACACTAGATATATTAAGTATTTATTAATAGGTGTTCAGCCCCAAGAGCAATTCTCTCAATATATTACTTTAAGAAATGTACCCCTTATACCCCTACATAATCTACAACCCTACCTCATCCCCAGTTCTGTTTTTACTCACAAAGCACATGATGCCTGAAAGCTCTATATTAAAGAAGTCTATTTGGTTTTGTTTAGCACAGTTTGGAGCTATTTTCAAAGCAAATACTTTCTCATTCATTTTTGTGACAACATCTCGTTACAAATCTACTAGAAAGATGAAACACAGAAACCCAGTTTTATAATACTGTAATCTTACATTTTAAATATTTGTGCTTTAGTGTTTTCGCTGGTATGGTTACCTTGGCCTAGAAGTAACGCCACCATTTCTTCATGTCCTTCACGAGCTGCTTCCATCAGTGGTGTATAACCTTCATCATTGACCTCTTCCAGGCTAGCTCCTCTTTCAATGAGTAAAGCCGCAAGTTCCACATGCCCACCACACGCAGCCAAAGTCAATGGTGACTCAAATGAATCAGCAGGCATATTCACTTGGGCACCACTGTCAAGAAGTAACCTAGCTACTTCAACATGGCCATCCTAATTACAATGCAATTAAAAAAATTAAATCAGCACCATTAAAAAAATCATTAAAAATATGAACACTTCTCAGTTACTATACAGTGAAGGTTTACTGATCTCCATTCAAATAAGAATTAATCTACATTTAACAGTTGAGAAAGCAAGTATTAAGTAAGACCCTCTATATTTCTGTGGCATAGACCATGAAACAGCGATCGAGGCTATGAAACTTATAGAAAAATAATACCTTCCTTCAATCAAAAGGCTTATTAACCTTTGGGGAAAAAAAGACATTAAGTACATGCAACAAAAGACTACTATGAAACGACAGCCTGCATGGTATATACTTAAATGCTACATGTATAAAGATTAGAAAGGGAAAGTAGGATTTTTGTAGAAACCTTAAGGAGAAGCAAACTTTTTATTAGGTAGAAAAAGAAAAATGCAATACTTTCTGGAGAATGTGGATGATGTGTTAGGGGAAAGGGAACACAATTTGTACATGGTCCTTCCTTTTGTTATTCAACATTCAAATGCCAGTGAAAATTGGAAGAAAGGAATCTCTCTTACTATCTTCTGTCTCCTTTGTTGGGCTCCCTTTCCCACAGCTTTCCTAACTATAGGCAACTCCAAGGCTCTCTTTTCTTTTTTGCCTTTGATGTAATTTTTCCTTCTAAATATTACCTCACAGACATTTCATCTTCTTTTGAATATGTCACACCCATTTTTAGCTCTGTACTTGCCATACTGCACAACTTTAATACCCCATTACAATGGTTACTTTGTGTTCCTTTGGCTCCAAATTTTCTCCTCCATCGTTAACTCCTACATTTCCTTTAAAGTCCAGCTTAAAATCCCAATCCCCTAGCAAGCTTTGAAATGTCTGGCCACTACCAATATCTTACCTCTACTTATAACACTTCCAGTACATGCAGATTAGGTCTACAGAATGCTCCATCTTGATTTCTTAATCTACATAGTTCTCTAGTGGGGGTCACAAGGATGTTTTAAGTTCCTTACCATGGAGATATTATTGATGTGTTTTAAATACATTATATTATTTAATGATCACAACAACCTAAGAGAAGGATATTACCCTAATTTTAACAGATAAGAACTTAAGACCTTCAAAGAAAACTCATGTTTCTTCAAAGGATAATTTATTAAAGCAAACACTGGCATGGCAATAAAGAAAACAAAGATAATTCAAGTCTTAATTAACTATCTGATATTTTTAAAAATTAGTAATTAAAATTTAACATCCTTTCATTGAGATACGAAACTTAAATTCATGTGGGGCCTTTTTCTATCTTTGGCATGTTTTTCTCATGAATCAGCCTATAATATTATTCTCATCCATTTCTGTGCCACAAATCAGAGACTAAGATACAAAAGTTTAAGAGTACTATTATTACCTGTTCCTAAGTACAAACCCTAAAAAGAAAGTTCTTAAAAAAGGAATTAAGGGCTCAGAAAAGACCATACACAGAGGGGGGAATTATGTTACACAAATAACACTCTAATTTCAAAATTTTCATTTTTCATTCAAATTTAAATTATCGGTTTGATGAATGTACTGTGCTGAGTATTATGTGCATACTTTGTGGACTATATTCTTCTTAATATCCTTGATCAATTTTTTAAATAGTTGCTTTTTGTGCCAACTGTGTAATACCAGCATAGTTATATGAGACTAAGAAAATAAAAGTAGTGCTGTAAAGCTCCAGAAAGCACCTTTAATAGAAAGAAGTTAACGTTGCCCAACTGGCTCTGAACGCTATTGACAAATTCAGACAGCTGAGGTTCTGCTCTACAATAAATCTATGATGAACAAATCTTTGAACTCAAGGAAAAGGTGCTCATCATACAATAACACTGTCTCTACGAATTATATATAGATATATTTCATGTATGTATTTCACCAGTCTTACCATGCAAGCCTCCATGAGAGCAGTGTGCATTTCATCCGTTTTATGCTCTTGATCTGCGCCTGCTTCCAAAAGAAATCGCACCATCTCTAGGTGTCCTAAACCAAAAATGTGCAAGATTACTTTAAAATATTTTATTATTCTAAAAAATATAAGAAAAATTTATAATACTTTGAAAATTTATATTTAACTTAGAGTAATAAATTTATAAGCATAATACTAAAGTCAGCTGCAAGCCACCCTCAACTGTCACACATAAATTATACAAGTGATACTTGTTCTACTCCTTACACTCTGTTGCCAATACTACAATCCTTGCTGCAGGTAAGCAAAGATGCTATTAAAATCCAAAACCCAGAATATCCCCTCTACAACCTTTTAAGAGCCAGGGCATGCTATATTTATTTATGCTACAGAACAGATTAGCTTCCGTGAATTAGTAGCCTGGGATAATAATAATTGAAGTTATTTCTAGGAGGAAATGTGTTTTAAGTTTCAATTACTAACTCAAACATTTTTTTAAAATTTTTTATTGTTATGTTAATCACCATACTAACTCATAAACTTTTTAAGAACATCTGTTTATAAGTTGGGAACTGCATATATATTTTTTTTTTTGAAACCACATCATTTAGTTTATACTTATTCACCTATTTAGATATAAACACATATACACATACATATATACACACACTCATATTTATATTTATGTAGTTTCAAATAAACCATATGCTTCAGTTCAAATAAAGACACCTTATGAGTAGTTAAAAAGACAAGGTATTTTTTAAAAAGGATTTCAGACACTATGCAAGAAACAGTAGAAAAATGACTAATTTTTTTCCAACTTTATTAGGAAGGAGTTGCAATCAATTCTCAATTAGGACTAAGGGGAAGGATTGGACGGTAAAATCATAAACAACTAAAACTAACTTCAGTAAGTAACTGTAACATCTGCTGTATCTTGTTTTTGCTAACTACCTACCTCCCTTTCCTCTCAGTCCTTTTCCCTTCCCAAAGATCCACATCAACGTACAGTCTCAGCCTGAGTTCTAGCCCTTCCCCATCTCCTCCTTGTCAATCTATGTCCTAGAAGACCTCACCCGAAATAGAGGAAAGGGAGAGGGTCCATGGATCCTTGTAAGTAGTAGAGATGTTCTCCACCAGCTCAGTTCTATATCCAGCTTCTAATTAAAGCCTGCAAGCCCCAACCTCAGACGCCCCTTGGAAAGCAGGGTGGGGCTACAAGCAAAGGAGAGAGGGAAGAGTAGTTATATGTAGCCCCATCTCAAAGCTCTTCTGGCCAGCTGGGACCCAGTAGTAAAATACAGCCAGTTCCAGGTTCAAAAGTATTTGTGAAAAGGGGAGAGAGCCACCCAATCAATCAGCCTGCCCTGGAAAGGCTGTCCCAAGGCTTTAATTCCTCTCCTCCCGATGAAGATAAGCCTCTGCTAATTACCAAACAGTACTGGGGAAGTAAGGGACCTCAGCTGTGTTTCCTAACCTTCCTTAATCTGAGACTCTGTTAACACCAGACAAGCGAAAGCACTTTAGATAGAGCATATTTTCACATTTAACTTAAATTTTAGTCATTTATGTATTTTAACCATGTTTTTAAAGGAAATTATTCCAGGGGACCTCACACAAGTTTGGTCACTCTGAAATAGAATAAAACAAAACAACACTAGGGCCACAACTAGGGTGTGGCAATCAAAGCCTTAGGTATATAATTTAAGAAGGTATTCCCTCACAAGCTTGGTGGGGGAAGTAATTCAGCCATTGAGAGTGAGTGCCCCCTTAAATTTTGTATCTTGTCTTATAAGAGTTTTTTCTTGATGCCTCAAGAATTTATCACTTATTTTATGATACAAACATGACACAGCTGCAGATGGTATGAAACACTGAACTGAATGGCTATGCAGACATAAAATTTGCCTTTTAAAAAAGTTCCTTGGTTTATAGCCATTTACCTGTCAAAAAGGTAGTCTGAGAAGTATGTGGCTCTTTGGCTATCTTTTTAGAATCTAGAATCTAGAGCATTAACTAGCTGAAGACTAAGACAATTGTCTTGCCCTCTCAAAGGACGGCATTTTTCAGGATTACCAGTATTTTCAGGTTGATTGACATCATTTAAAATATCATATACCCCTTTTGTACAGTTACGTATGTATAGGTAGGTGTTTTTCTCAATTTCAACCAGCTCTTCCTTCTAACTTTATTAACTGTGTTGATGATACTCTAACATTGTTCTTTAGAATTCAAACTCCCCTCACACCACTTTTCATTTCTCAAATCTCCTCATCTCAATTTTTCTCCTTCTTAGTGTCACATGAAATAGCTTAAGCACCTTCTTATTAATAGATCATCCTAGCTACTTTTATTGTATTTACTTTTAAACTTACAGGCTGAATACTTCTGGAGTCAACAGGATTCTTTTGTGAGAACCACGCAAAATATTCTGACACAAAAACCATGAAAAAGTACAGTGCATAATTAAAATTAACCGTTTCTGATAAAACAACTGAATCATTTAACAGTCATTTTTCATTGACAATATATTTATAATATTAAGTCTATATTTTAAAAGTTTACATATTAAATTCTGAAACACTTTAAACACATTTCTTTAAGTTAAATACATACTATATTCTATTACCACCTCTTAATTTATTTTTTAATTTAAAAACTATATTATATTAAGTAATAGTCATATCATGTGTTTAAAAACTCTGTTTCAAAAAAATGTTTTATACCGTACCTTTGTAACAAGCTAATGTAAGGGCACTCTCTTTAAATTCATTGGAATGCGTATTAATGCCAGCCCCATTTTCTAGCAGCAATCTGGCTACTTCCACATGTCCAGCACTTCCAGCTTCCATAAGAGGAGTATGACCATTTTCATTATGGTCCTCAATACTAGCACCGGATTCCAAGAGCACCTTTACAACATCTACATAGCCTCCAGCACAAGCATATGTAAGTGCTGTATTGCCTATTTTAATAAAGAAAAACAAAAAGATATTTATTTTTTTATTACCATGTTCAATTAGCCAGCATATAGTACATCATTAGCTTTTGATGTAGTGTTCAACAATTCATAAGTTGTGTATTAACACCCAGTGCTCGTTACCACATGTGCCCTTCTTAATACCCATCACCTGGTTAACCCATTCCCCCACCCGCTCTCCCTTCTGTAACCCTCAGTTTGGCTCCTGGAGTCCAGAGTCTCTCACAGTTTGTCTCCCTCTCTGATTTCTTCCCATTCAAGGAAAAACAAAAAGATATTAACATAAAATACCAAAATAAAAAGAGCCTCATTTAGCATCAAGAAGAAAACTGAAATGGGAGACTATAATTTTTTTTAAGATTTTATTTATCTGTCAGAGAGAAAGAGAGAGCACAAGCAGGGGGAGTGGCAGGCAGAGGAAGAGGGAGAGGGAGAAGCAGGCTCCCCACTGAACAGGGAGCCCAAGGAGCCCAATGCAATGCGGGACTCTTGATCCCAGGATGGTGGGATCATGACCTGAGCCGAAGGCAGACGGGGAGACTATAATCTTAATAAATTTAGATAATATATATAATTCCTTTCCCATTGCCTTTTATCTTACTGAAATCAACTCCCAGTTCTCTCCATTTAGTATCAGGGTCAAATACATGTGGAAAATAGATACGCTTGCCATGACTGTAGAGTTAAAAAAGAACTGAGCAATTCTAAAACTTCAACTCTTCATATGAGAAAAAAGTTATATTCATTCTAACTTTAAAGTTTCACAAGATTTGTGATTGTAATTATTCATCATATGTAGCGACATCTCATACTGTCCCTTTAATCATACATATTTGTTTTCACTAATCATACATATTGTTTTCACTGTGATCACCAGCTAACTGATCAAAGCTAAAGTATTTCAAAAACATTCTTTCTTGATGATAAAAATCTCCCACGTTACAAGGAAAAAAATGTTAACATTCTGGGTAAAATAAGGGTTTCTAAAACCCCTTCAAACCAGAACCTGTAAGATCCTAAAAATTATTTAAAATATTTAACAAATTTGGGGCATCTGGGTGGCTCAGTTGGTTAAGCGTCTGCCTTCAGCTCAGGTTGTGATCCTGGGGAGTCCCGGGATCCAGCCCCACATTGGGCCCTGCTCAGCGGGGAGTTTGCTTTTCCCTCTGCCCCTTCCCCTGCTCCTTCTCTCTCTCTCAAATAAATAAAATCCTTAAAAATAAGTAAAATACTTAACAAATTTAAAAATCTTAAATGAAGATACACAAAATATATTTTCATATAATTTTACAATTTTCATATAAATCCATCTATGCCAAGCTTGAAAAAAAATAAAAGTTTAAACTAAAGTCATGCCCCTTGTGGGACACAATGTTTTCATAATACCTTCTTTTTCTGTAGGCCACAATTTAGTATCAGTAGACAATGACAGACCTGCCTTTTGTTCCACAGCCTTCTTGTTCTCCCTATCTTCCCTTCCCTTCTGCCCTGAGACACAGGAAATCTGGGTTGGAGAACTGTAGCCCATTTCCAAGAATGTAGTCCTTCTAACTGGGCCAGTATTTAATTTAATCTAAAAGAACTTTAAAAGGCCAAGTAATCGTCCTCATACACCAAAGAAGAAAAATTTTATTCAAAATATATTCTTTACTTTAAACCTAATGCATAGCCTTATATAAACATGTAGCACTGTATAATTAGAGAACTGCAAGAGCTTTACTAGTGATGATTTTCATGTGAAATAATTACTAGCAAAGGGTGTTCATATTTAGCAAAACTGAAAAAGAATAACCTGTTGAAGACTGTGCATTGACGTCGGCTTTATGAGCTAGCAGCAACTTCACAATTTTGACATGTCCTCCATTAGCAGCAGCCATTAAAGGTGTGATGTCACCTTTGATTCCCCTATCTTCCACATTTGCATGCATTGCCAACAAAACCTTATGAAAGAAAAAGTTTAAATGGTATTAGAAAATGATATATTCATCAAAACATGTGGAACATATTTACGTTAACACCTACCTAGTCATTTAAAGTAAAAGAGCCAACAACCACAAAGTGTATCTAACAAAACTATGTGTTGAAATGAGCCTAACGGTTGAGTTTTATTATTTCCCTAATAAGTAGGCCAGATTAAGAAACAAAAACAAAAACAACCCATGTGATTATTTTTATAATACAAACCTGTGCAAGCTCATAGTATCCAGCAGAACAAGCTAAACAAAGGAGGCTCTCCCCTTCCTCAGTGTGCTCATTTACACTTCGCCCTTCAATGAGTAACTTTCGCACAGCATTTACATCTCCTTCTGAACAGGCTTCTGCCAAACTGCGGCTATTGGGGAAGAACATTTTAATATCAGGATATAAAAATATGAAAAATTACACAGTGTACTGGCTTTTGAGGTAATTCTGAACAGTAGTGCTAAACAAGAATGATTATTTCAATATGATCCATAACAAAAAGAAAACTGAAAATGATTCAGTTCTTGAATTGAATTCATTTTAAAATCTATATATAAAAGTCACTGAATGAGAATTATCAACATTATAAGATGATTACAGCTATGCAACAGAAGGATAAAGTCCAGTTTACTATCCCTGGGGAAAAAAACCAAAATTCTAAAACATAAAATTTATGGAAAATCACATGAACACAATATAGGTAATAATTTTACTTCCCTTTGTTCAGTCGTGAGAAAATTTATATAAAAGTTAATTAAAAATGTATTTAATAAAATGGGTAAAACTTGTACTAATTATAAAGGTCTACCTGAGTCCTTCAATCAACTAAAGGGAAATCAGACAGGAAAGTTGTGAGCATGTAATTTTGACTAAAATATGAATAACTGATAAGGAGATTTTTTTTTTTTCAAGTATTTACTTGTGCATCATATTTTGGTGAAGTCTGAAAAATATCCAGGCAAGGCAAAGGTTAAATTCAAGCAAAAGGAAGGTGGAGAAAGTGAAGCAACAGAAATTAGACTGAGAGTAAAGTGTTTGCCCTATAAACATCCCCAAATAATTCCAACTATGGACATTTCTAAATGTCTTCTCTCTGCTCTTGGATAAAATCCATCCTAAGAAAAACACTAAATCCAGTGCTATTAATACTCTCTTCATTTCAAATATAAGTCAATTCTTGTATCATCCTCTTGAAGGTCCCGTCACTTCTGATACTAAAGGCATCCATGGGTAACCTCTTCTCTTTTTTTTTTTTAAGATTTTATTTATTTACTTGACAGAGAGAAAGAGAGAGTGAGAGCGGAACACAAGCAGGGGGAGTGGGAGAGGGAGAGGCAGGTTTCCCGCGGAGCAGGGAGCCTGATGCGGGCTTGATCCCAGGACCCTGGGATGCTTAACGACTGAGCCACCCAGGCGCCCTGGTAACCTCTTTTCTATACCTCTATTATTCCTACCACCCAGATTCAAGAACATCATGTTTAGCCCAGATTATGGCAAAGTCTCCTGAACAGTCTTCCTGCTGTTACCTTTGTTTTCCTTCAGACTCTTTTCAACAAGGCAGCCAGAGAGATCTTATTTAAAGGAAAGCAGATCATGTCACTCCTCTGCCCAGAATCTTCCATTTGGCCTCTAATCTCACTCACACTAAAAGCCAAAGTACTTATGAGATCTTTCCAGTGGTGGACCCACAGTCCTAATTTTTACCTCTCTGATTTCATCCCCTACTATTCTCACACTTACTCTTGCCACATTCGTTGGCTTTCCTGCTTTTCATAAAAAATGCTAATTAAGCTCCAACTCCAAGATATATGTATTCGCTGTCCCTCTGCCAAGACAGCTTCTCTGTCAGACACAGCTCACACCCTTACCAATTTCAGGTCTTTGCTAAAAAACCATCTTTTAAGTGAGGATTTCCCTGACTACTCTCTTAAAAATGCACTGTGATCTCCAACCCCAAACACTGCTCTAGCACTTCCCCATTCAATTTTTCCCCATAGTTCTTACCATTGTGTGCCATGTTATATATTATACTTACTGGTTAATTGTATTATCCCCTTACCAAAGTCAAAGTCTTGAATAGCACTTAGTATGCTTGTCTCATAATTTCCCATTTTTTAGGACACCGACAGTCCCTAGACCCAGTGTTTTCTATTACCTTTAAACAAATTTAAGACAAATCTTTCCCATAAGACATGTCCTTATAAAGAACATACCTTTTCTCTCTTTCAAGTGGGCTCTTACTCTTTTTCTCTTCCTGAGGCACACACATACCTTCCCTCTACAATCCCATTTAGACTGGCATTCAATTTCCTTGTGTGTGCTAGCTTTAAAACAAGCTTACGGGAACTACTGTAGCAACATTTGAAACTCCGAACTTATGAGCAAAGGGTACATTAGATCTAGCACATGGCATCACACTTAACTAATGTAAAATCTAACACATAACATCACTGTACTCCACTGTATTTCTCAAGTTTTGCTGAATAAATGACTGTCACAAACATGCTCTATTTTTTAGTATATTCAATGCCAAAGAATCTGTAACGTTTTATTTTTCTATTCTATTTCCTGCTTGAACTAGCTTTAATATACTCTTCAAGGTGTTTGTAACTTTCTTTCTTGCCAGTCTCAGCAGGCACCACATTTAAGAGAATATTAGTAATACCACAGGGTAGTAAAACTGATCATTAATTCAGAAATAGAACTTGAAGTTAACTGAAGGAGAGTCAATCCATGAGAATAGTAAATTAAGAAAAACACAAAAATCTAGACAAATGAAGATGAATACAGAGCCAAGAGGAAGAGCAAATTCATATTCTTGTTAATACTATACCTTTCTTTCATGCTCTTTAAAGATTTTATTTATTTGAGAGAGCATGAGAGTGAGACTGAGAGAACGAGTGGGGGGAGAGGCAAAGGGAGAAGCAGACTCCCCGCTGAGCAGGGAGCCCAACGCGGGACTCAATCCCAGGACCCGGGATCATGACCTGAACCAAAGGCAGCTGCTTAACCAACTGAGCCACCCAGGCGCCCTCTTTCATGCTCTTTAAAGATGTCACATAAAAACACTATTATATAAAAGATAATCCTTAAATTCTATTTTTTTAATTCTCCAAACCCATATATAAAAGAATCCTCCCATTTTCTCAAGTGTTTAAAGGCAACTGCTAAAATAAATAAAATGGTGTCATTTTAGTTAGAGGAAAACAAGCCTCTGAGGAAGCAAAAAAGGTAATTTATATTAATAATTCTCTTCCATTTGTTTTCTTGGAGCTTATATCCATTTTTCATATACTATCCATAATTGTTTTTTTTATATGAGATGATGTGACTTTTATTGTGTAAGATCATCAGAAAAACCTAAAAAAGCAAAGTCACAAAATATAAACTGAGTCCTTACTAACTGTAAAGTACTATATAAAAGGAATCGTAGGGCATACAAAAAGTACCTGGAACTCACTTACATTCAAATTATGGGAACTAGATCTATGACATTTGTTGAACATGAATAGAACAAATAAATAAAAAACTTGCTCTTTAAAATGACTAGAATTATACATATTAACTAGAAAATGGCATGACTAATTAGAAAGCATTTATTTCTTTGTCACCAAAACATTAAAAGAAAACCAAATCTAAAGAGGCAAAAGGTTTTTATAATAACATATTGGCTAAGAAGTCAGACTTGCAGTCACTGGTGCCCCAGGTCTGCCACTTGTCAGCTATTTGATCTTGATTAAATTGTTCACTTCTCTTGAGCTTTTCAGAATAAAAGGAAAGTAGAAACAAAATCCATTGCCTTAAGGCTTTTTGTGAGTAAAAACAAGATATTACAAATAAAGTGGTTAGCTCCATGCCAAGCACAAAATAAAGGCTGTGAACATTAGCTATTTTTAAGAAAATGTTTTTATACTGATCACAGAGAAAATGTACTTACTTGTCCGACTGCCCTGCATTCGCTGTGCTTTCAGCTCTCATACGGGTAAGTGCAGCAGCAGCTTCATCCAACGCACAACTAACAGATGATGTCAACCTCCGAAGCACTTCAGGATCTGCAAAGGCTTTACCATCAGCCGTAGATAATTTGCCTATTCCTATTACATGATTTTCACACCAATATGGATATACCCAAAAGGAGAAACAAAGCAAAAGTCAAGTTACTTAACTCTATGTATCTTAACGAATAACCTTTAAATGTTACACTTCACATATATACTGTCTGTCTGGAATCTTTTGGAAAATCACTGTTCTCCAATTCTCTAATAACCTTATTCCTCCCATGTGGTCTAGAAGTGCTTGACCCCATGACTCTCTGGTGCCAGAAATGAGTCTTTGGCCTATGCTGGGACAACTAGGAGTCCCCAGTCAGACTTTTGCCATAGGTTTGGAAGAACTTCTATGTTCAAAGGTTACTGAATTGCTAAGATGTGAGTCATGAGCTAATGGCCACTTTCATGATCACAAAGAGAGAGAGACTATCCGAAATAAGTCAATATAGAGGAGAGCAGAGCAGAGAAACAGAAAGAAGACAGTTCAGATAAAAGTCATTTTTTACTCACTGAAACCAATAGTGCCAGAAGCCAGAACAATGCCCATTATTTTTGGTAGATGCCACTTTTGTTTAAGACTGTTTAGGTGGCCTACTACCACTTGTGACCAAAAATGGCCTAATAAGACATTACAGGCCATATAAAAGATAACATGAGTACCTGTTTATTTCAAATTATGTCTATAACTTATTACATGTACTCAATATCATATCTAAAAAACATTCAGAACAGTAAAAGAATAAAAATCCAAAAGTAGAACTGGTTAATAACTATCTGCATGAAATATATCTTATTGCTTTTCTGGATTATCACTACACAACAAACTTCTCTCTAACTTTTATTATTCTAACTCTGTGGTGCTGCCCATCAGTGGAGCTTTTCAAAAATAAAGATGCTAAGCTCTCCTACATCTAAGGATGTAATTCAGTAAGTAGGAGGTAGGGCCTAGGCATCTAAATATTTTTAAAGCACTAAGAAGATTCTAATGCATAGCCAGGATTAAAAACCTCTGCTCCAACTTGAAGATAAACACCTAATGTTATAATGCATATTATAGATCCCTGCTACTCAATAAGTGGTACATGGAGAACAAACACTGCTATCATTTGGGAGCTTGTTAGAACTGCAGAATCTTGGGGGCGCCTGGGTGGCTCAGTTGGTTAAGCATCCGACTCTTGGTTTTGGCTCAGGTCATGATCTCAGGGTCATAAGGTCGAGTCCTCAAGCCCATGTTGGGGCCCCCACGTCAGGGCTCCGTGTGGGATCTGCTCTTGGAGCGGAGTCTGCTTGAGATTCTTCCCCCACCCCACCTTGCTCCTCCCTCTGTTCCTGTGCACACATGCATTCTCTCTCTCTTTCTCTCAAATAAATAAAATCTTAAAAAAAAAAACAAAACTGCAGAATCTCAGGCCCCAAGATTTTCTGACCCCGAACCTGCATTTTTAAAAAAGATTCCCAAGCAATTCAGATGCACATTAAAGTTTAAGAAGTATTATCACAGGTTTTAAAACAAACTACTTACCTAAGACATCAATCAAAAAAACCCCACTCAAATGGTAATAATAAACATACCTGTGCAGATTTCTTTTTACAGTAGAAGGGCTTAATAACATCATATAAGTTTGTGTTTAAAGTGTACAAAAGTTTGTACTTGTTTGATTTTCTTACTGGAAAAATCCAAGATATCAAATACTATATCTTTATGGAACCAAAAATAAATGACAGAAAGCCTTTATGGTTTTAGATATAACAAATGTTCAGAGCAGTCAAAGTTGGTATCTGTTACAATCAAGATGTGCAAAGAATAAAGACAGTCTCGGTCTGATAAAACTGATCCTACTATATAATTTGTGTCACTAATATTAAAAACCAACCACAGTCTGAATCTGCTATAGCAGTATTTATTCAGTAAGATACCTGTGGTTAGTTAAGTATCCTAACGCTATGGAAACCAAGATCACAGATGCATTTTCACATGAGAGAATTCGCTCCAATTTTTTAGCCAATTCAGATCAGCCATATAACAACTATTTGCCAATGACAGCAACAGAACTAGGTAAGAAGATATATCTGGATTAGTAAAAAGTAATCACTGCCTTAAAAAGAAAGAGCATCAAAAACAAAATATTCCATATTAAATTTTTATGAACTTCTCATGTCTTCATAAGGTAACTATTTTAGTAAAGATAATTAGGAAGTAACCTAAGATATACATGGTAATCCTTCAAATGAATAAATAGTGATTGAAAATTAATTTATTCTAGCTACTCTGGATTATGATGATACTTTTTTACTAGTCTTAACCAGTTATTACGTATTAATCAATGAAGATCGAAAACAGAAAAGATACGTGATGATCAGATTATTCTTTCCCAATTCTAACACTGAATCAACTGAACAAAAGAACCATGTAACTTGTGACCAAAAATGTCCTAATAAGACATTATAGGCTTTATAAACGATAGAAGAGAAACAGTGCATTAAAAGATTACCTAGATTTCGGATTTTAAGATTATTATTTTCTCCCTTTTTTTCCTCTTATAACTTACTCAACCTAATTCCTATTTATGAAGACAAAGTTAAGAGGAGATGTAACTGACTTAGCAGAACAAACAGAAACACAGATATCAAAGAGAAACAAGGTGAGCAGCCCAACAGGGTTCAGAAATTATAGGTACCAGACACAGGGGTGAGGCTTGGGCCAGAAAACAGAGAGACTAGCTGAACACCTGTGAGAAGTAGTCAGATACTTGAAGACTCTATTTCCAAACTGCACAGCCAGATGATTATTCTCTATAGAAACCAAACCAGAAAGGCCCAGGATTAGTAGTCATTAGATAAAGAGGAAAAAGAGATGATATACTAAAAGGAAATAAGGATTAAGTGAATATATACATTATAAACAGTGAGATCCTCAATCCCCTCCCACTCTAAGCTCCCAAAATACAGGTAGCCAGGTTTAACATTTACCAGATAAAACCTGGTAGATGTGTCTCTCAAGAAACTGAAAAGCCCCAGAGAAAAGATTTAAAGATACTGACATTTGGAGAGTTCTCAAAGAAAGGGAAGGGTCTCTATCCAATCACTGTGTACTAGAATTCTAAAATGTCACCAACTTTACCCAGCTCTGGTATACTCACTCTATGTAATCCTTGGGACTGGGAATTTCATAGCTTTTATCCCCATGATTAGGTTACATTATATGGTACAGCTGACCTGAAGACAGGAATATTATTTGGGTGGGCCTGACCTTATCACATGAGCCTATGAAAAACTAAGAGATTTCTTTGGCTAATTGGAGAAAAGGAAGTCAGAGATTTAAAGCATCAGAAGGATTCTACTGTGCTTACATGAAGATGAAGGGGGCCACATGCCAAAGAAGGTAGGCAACCTCAAGAAGGTAAGAGCAGCCCCCAGCTGACAGTCCATAGGAAATCAGGAACTCAGTCCTGTAACTATAAGGAACTAAATTCTGCTACCAACAACAATAAACCTGAAAGCAGATTTTCTCTGACAGCCTACAGATGAGAACTCAACTCAGCGGATACCTTGATTTCAGCCCAGGAGACCCTGGGCAAGAGAATCTAGCCACACTATGTGCCCAGATGTCTTATTTACAAAAACTAAGTGAGAGTAAATGGGTGTTGTGTCATGCCGCTATATTTATAATAAATTGTTATGCTGCAGTAGTAATTATATAATGTATTAATTTATAATATATAATAAATACTTCATAGTGAAACCCACCAGTTGACAAAACATGCACATATACTTTCCGTTTTAGTTTTATGGCATTGCTACTGACTACAAAAAGGCTAGGATTCACCAGGTATTTGAAGAAAATCTGAAATGTAAAGGACACCCAAAAATATTCAAAATGTGAGCAAAATTTTAAAATGCCCCAAATTCTAATGCTATGGAGAAGGATGAGAAAGGAAAAGTTGCAGAGATAAGAGACTACTATAAGTAAGTGTGATGTTAACTTCCTGAACTGCAACACCAGGAATTAGGAGATAATGGAGCAATAATTTCAAGCCTGAAAGAGATTTTTAAACCAGAATTCTATACCTTCAAACTATCAAGTGTGAGGATAGCATCAAAGGCATTTTTCAGACGTCTCAAAAACTTTTACTTCTCAAGCATCCTTTCTCAGGATAGTTAAACCATGGTCAATCTCAACACCACAAAAAGAGAAACCACCAGAGTAGTTCTGTGATACACAGGAGATATATACACCATGAATGACTATTCTTGCTAAAAACAAAATGAATCTGAATCTGGTCACTATCTGGATCTGAATTTTGATTTACAGGAATACAACATACAGAGCGGCAACTAGCAAAATTGATAAAGTGGGACACATCAATCAATTTCTTCAATAAATGGGGGGAAAAAAGGAAAAAGTTATGATTAAAAGACACTTAAATAATTAACATGAAAAATATCAAATTTTACATACAAAATATGTAATTATGAAATAGGTGAAGGAGATTAAAGAGTACACTTATCATGATGAGCACTGAGTATGTAGAGAATTGTTGAATTGCTATATTGTACACCTGAAACTAATATAAGACTGTATGTTAACTACTGAAATTAAAATAAAAAACTCGGTGGTGTCTGGGTGGCTCAGTCGGTTAAGCACTGGACTCTTGGTTTCAGTTCAGGTCATGATCTCATGGGTGGTGAGATGGAGCCCCAAGGCGGGATCCGGCTCAGTGGGAAGTCGGCTTGAATATTCTCTCCCTCTGCCCTTTCCCCCCACTCACACATACACGCTCTCTAAAATAAATAAATAAATCCTTAAAAAAAATAAAAATTTAATAAAAAAATGTAAAACTTGTTTGGATCCTAATTCAAATAAACTAACTATAAAAAGACCATTATGGGGTGCCACCAACTCTCAATTTTGCCTTAGGTCATAAGCTCAGGGTTGTGAGATTGAGCCCCATACCGGGCTCTACACTGGGCGTGGAGCGTGCTTAAGATTCTCTCTCTCCCTCACCCTCTGCCCCACCTTTCTCTCTCTCTCCCTCCCTCCCTCTCTAAAAATAAATAAATAAATAAATAAAAATAAAGCAACCTTTAAAAAAAGACCATTATGAAATAATTCGGGAAATATAAACACTGACAGGATATTTGACAATATCAAGGCATTACTATTATTTTTTTCTTTAGATATGCAATGGTATTATGGTTATGTTTATTTTTTTTAAAAGTTCTTGGGGTGCCTGGGTGGTGCAGCCAGTTAAGCAACCGACTCCTGGTTTCCACTCAGTTCTCGATCTCAAGGTGGTGAGATCAAGCCCCCTGTAGGGCTTAAGTTTCTCTCTCCCTCTGCCCCTCCCCACCGTGTGCTAGCTCTTGCTCGCTCTCTCTTAATCTAAAAATAAATAAATAAATCTAAAAATAGTTCTTAATTTAGAGTATATACTGAGGTATTTATTTATTTATTTAAGATTTTATTTATTTATTTTAGAGATAGAGCATGTAAGAGTGGTGGGAGGAGCAGAGGAAGAGGGACAAGCAGACTCTGCAATGACTGCAGAGCCCCACGCAGGGATTAATCCCAGGACCCTGGGATCATGACCTGAGCCAAAATCAAGAGTTGGACACTCAACCAACTGAACCACCCAGGTGCCCCTATACTGAAGTATTTATATATGAAATTATATAATGTTTAGTTTGCTTTAAATTAACTTGCTGGGGTGGGGCATCAGCAGGTAACAATAAGTAAAGATGAAACAAGATTGTCCATACACTGATGGCTGTTAAAGCTGGATGATGGGTATTCCCTCGGGGCTTGTACATTAACATTTTTCATTTAAAAAAGAAAGAAATAAGGGAGAAAGGGAGAGAAGTGAGAAAGAAGATGAGGAAGGGAGGGAGGAGGGAGGCTATTGTAGAAAAAACAGAAAAAAAAACCAAACATAGAAATGAGAAAATGAGACAACTATTAGCATCCTATGAAAAGGAACTCTACCTCCAAAAGTAACTCCTCTCAGCCGAAGTCTACTTTCCTGTAGCACTTTTCAACCTGGTTCTGCCTCTTGGGGTGCACAAAAACAAATATCCCTCTTATATGCAACCTGAGTTTTCTCATCTTCAGGAGAAACATTCTCTTTTCCTCTTATGACACATTTTCAAATAATTTTACAATTTTCATTTCTCTCACATAAACTTCTATAGCAACACCAAATTCTGGCAAATGCTAAATTCTGTATCTACTATTCTTTTTTCTTTTTTTAAGATTTTATTTATTTGAGAGACAGAGAGTCAGAGATAGTGAGAGAGAACACAAGCTGGGAGGAGAGGGAGAAGCAGGCTCTCCACTGAGCAGGGAACCCAACATGGGGCTCGATCCCAGGACCCCCAGATCATGACCTGAGCCAAAGGCTAACTGATTGAGCCACCCAGATGCCCCTGTATCTACTCTTTTGAATAAATAGTTTTTTATACTCAAGGACAGGACCTTGCATGTGCCCTACTATGTTTTCATTTGTACTTGGTCTAGATCCCTTTAATAATCTGTTCTAGAATTTTACTCAGGACAGAAATCAAATTTAACCATGAGTCCTTCAAATACTTAGATGCTGTGTTACAAGGATTTATTGAAAGGATTACCAAATAGTAGTAGGTTGGTTTTATGCTATAATAAAGCAGCAGTTTACATGCATTGTATGTACACTATATAGCAAATCAGGGTGCTAAAAAAAAATGATCAATTAATGTTCACAATATATTTATGTCCACTTTAGAAAAGTTAAGAAAATATATGGCTATATAAAATGATCACAGAGATTGAGAGTTACTATTCCCTTATACTTTAGGGCTATAGATTATAGCCCTATAATCTCTAATTAAAAATATATATAATCTCTAATTAAAACACTTCTTATAGGGACAATATAATAATGATCCACTTTACAAAAATACAATGATTCACTTTACAAGGTTTCAAGAGATAGTCTATGACAAAAAAGAGGGGAAATTATATACAGTCATTCTCATGATTCATGGTAGTTATATTCTATAAAGTCACTGGGAACACTGAATTAATGAATAACTGAACCATTGCTCCTAGGAAAAATACAGGTCTAGGTTCCTGTGAGCCTCTGGTCACACAGCATTTGCATTAACCAAATACTGTCTTATGTATGTTTTTGTTTAAAGATGACCTTATTTAATGTATAGTTGATTTATTAACATTGAACTCATGGTTAATAGCACTATAACCCATGCTGAAGAAGCTTATCTAACAACACATGTATTTTCTCCATTAGGCACATCAATACCTTCTCACATTTAGGAACACCAGATAGCACTTTCGCATTATACTTGGGGACCATTATAAACAATGTAATTGCCAACAAAAGGCACAACAATGTGAAAAAAAGGGCTCTAAGTAGGTGAAAAGGACACTTGTTTACAGTATGAGAACTGAGAGCTTCACCTTATTTCATCTCATCAGGGAATGTGTGTAGGACAATTTTTCACTATTATGTGCATTTCTATGAAAGACTGAAAAAGTGCTGAAAGCACCAATTTTAGGGTATGAATACATGTTATCAAGGAGGCAAATTCACAAATATGGAATGTGGGACTAAAGAAAATTGACTATAGGAGAAATCTCTCTTCAAGGTTGACAGCAACATGTGGATTTTACTTGGGTAATGAAAATACTCTTTAATGAAATTTCCATGTAATTCTCTAGAAAGCTATCCATTAATCATTATGAATAGTATTAGACTAAATGTCCAAGACCTTACATTTATTTTTTTTTTTTTAAGATTTTATTTATTTGACAGAGAGAGACACAGCGAGAGAGGGAACACAAGCAGGGGGCGTGGGAGAGGGAGAAGCAGGCTTCCCGCTGAGCAGGGAGCACGATGCGGGGCTCTATCCCAGGACCCTGAGATCATGACCTGAGCCGAAGGCAAATGCTTAACGACTGAGCCACCCAGGCGCCCCAAGACCTTACATTTATAATCATAGTAGTTTTTTTTTATTTTAGTAAACTCTACACCCAACGTGGCGCTGGAACTTATGACCCCGAGATCAAAAGTCGCATGCTCTAACAACTGCGACAGCCAGGTGCCCCTGATCATAGTAGTTTTTATTACATTTATATGTAACTTTGAAAATTAGATAGTCTAATTACGTATGTAAGGTCTGCAGACTTACCTGCAGCTTCTAGTAAAGCTTCCAGTCTAGCTTGTGTTTCTGGATCTACTGTCCTGAGGTCTGCACCATCAGCAGTACCTGACAAGAGCAACTTGGAAGCCGTTTCCAGCATTGGATTTTCCAAATCATCCTGATCCAAAATGAAAGATTCCACCTAGAAAACAAATACAAAAAAAAGGAAGGAAGGGAGGAATAAAAGGAGAAAGGCAAAGTGGTAAGAGAAATAGAAGAAAAAGGAGAAGAGAGAAAAAGTATTTTAACGTAAATATCATGATAAATACAATGCAATTCTAAATAAATTCAATGCGATACATAAGCCCACTGTTTAAAGGAAAAAATTATATTTATAGAAGAATTTAAGAATGTGCTGCTCATATGCAGCATAGTCTCATTTTTTTTTTTACTGAAATTATGTATTCTTTTCTATTTTAATTTGGTAGGATAAGGGTGAGAAGGGGGAGCTAAGAGGTTAATGATTAGACTGAAACATTTGACTTTTGTAGAGGACCTAAATCGGCTGTTCTTTTTTTTTTATTTTATTATGTTATGTTAGTCAACATACATTATATCATTAGTTTTTGATATAGTGTTCCACGATTCATTGTTTGCGTATAACACCCAGTGTTCCATTCAATACATGCCCTCCTTAATACCCATCACAGGGCTAACCCATCCCCCCACCCCCTCCCCTCTAAAACCCTCAGTTTGTTTCTCAGAGTCCAGTCTCTCATGGTTCATCTTCCCTTCCGTAAATCAGCTGTTCTTAAATGTTCTGCTCTCAGGACTTAAATGTTTTGCTCAGGACCCTTTTATGCACTTATAAAGTACTGCCCACCCAAGACCTTCAGATAAGGGTTAAATTTATTAATATTCACATTAAGACAAACTACAATATCAAAAAATCACACTTGTTAATATCACCACCAGTGATATTTTCATCAGAAAGTTTTAAGTACTGTAAAGCCCAGGCAAATAAAATTTAAAATTCTAATTTGTGCTTGAAAGCTTAATTTTCTCATTGGCAACAAATATTGCCACTCGTTTTCCTTAAAGTGGCAAGCTCATTCCCATCATTTCTGATGAGAACATTTGCCAAATATCCAAGTTTGGTAAGCGTAGTGGGTCTGTCAATTATATTTTCTAGTAACAATGGTATTTCATGGGAAAAAAATGGCTAATTTACCTTGCATCTCAAAAAAAACACAAAAAGAACCTCAGAAGTGCCTTATGTGTACTTCCCATTTTGTCACACACCGTAATATTAAAAGGACATGCATTCAAAAGTGCAGATTCATAAAATTAGTATTTATTGCTTTATCGAGATTATTCCTAAGGTAAAATTGGCTTTTTATTTTCTTTTTTTAACTGTGAGAATTGAAGAATATAATGACACTAATACAATTTGGTGCCATGGCCTCAAATGAGGGGCTAGCAGTTTAATCTACCATTGCTTTTGCATCATCAGTGCAAGTGTCAACACAGTAAGAGGCAAATAACATCTCAGTACTGTGGTGAAAGAGTTTTGACCTCTTGGATATGCTGAAATGGTCTCTGGGACCCTGAGGGACCTGGGATCATTCATTGAGAACCAGTGTTCCATTCAATCCAGATTCAATTAAAAAATATTTAAAGAATTAGAACATAGCAAACACTGAAGACATGGGGAAAAGTTTTGTTGTGATATCCCTTATTATAGTGCTACTTACAAATAAGTACTAAGCTATATTCTTTCCTGTTTGCTGATAAAAAGTTGATAATCATTACATAAACTGCCACTATTTTACATGATATTTACTTCACAAATCTAAGGTACTTCTAACACTAATAACTAAAATAGATATAAAAGTAATTATTAACCTAGAACACAATTATGCTCATACCTAGTATCTAAATGTAAGAAATATGAAAAAAACCTTAAGGAATAAAATTTTAACTATTATAACATGAGAAACTCTGAGTCATTTCATCCTTGAAAGTCATCTATCTAGTAACCAGGAACAAACATTATATTTAACCAACACATATTTCATACTGAATGTTAAATCTGGGAGGAAATAGTATGTTTCTCTCCAAATTTCCATTAGACTAACACAGTTTAACATGATTTCAGATTTCTAATATTTCAAATACAATAGACACTGGATACTCTGTAAATAATCTCTGTAAATATTTGAAAATTTTCACAAAATTTTGCAGTATATTAACTTTAACCCATCAAATAACAACTCCCTGCTAAAATGACAGGGAGTTAGGAAAAAAAAAAAAAAAGAAACAACAAGAATATACTCTTTTTAGTTTTAAGTTATCTTTTAAGGTAGTAGCATAAGTGTTATACTTTAAGAAGCAGATTTTGGGAATAAACACATCTTAAAAAGGGAGGAGGGGTGATGCACCTGGGTGGCTCAGTCAGTTGAGCCTCTGACTCTAGGTTTCTGCTCAGGTCATAATCTCAGGTTCTGAAGATTGAGCACCCCCCCCCACCCCCGTGCCCGCCCAGGGCTCAGTGAGCTCAGCAGAGAGTCTGCTTTTCTCTCCTTCTCCCTCTATCCCTCCCCCTGCTTGCATGTTCTCTCTTTCACTCTAAAAGAAATAAATAAATCTTTAAAAAAATAAGTAAACTTTTGGGACATGAGTTGGCCATAGCAAGGTGTGATTCAAAATTACAGTATAACAAAAACTATGTCTTATCTTCAACAAAGGTCCAGAAGATAAGTCTTTAAAGGAAAAGTTGCTTCCCAGTGAAATTTTCTCTGTGAAAGTATCTACAATTTTCCAATCCAATGGGAGAAGATGAAAGAAAACAAAGGTATTGAAATAAACATGGAAAAATGAACATAGGTAAAATAAACAAATGAAAAATTAAATAATATATATTTCAGACTAGAGTTTTAGAAAAAGTATTTCAAAGATCAGGGCATGGTTAAGTGCCAAGTCAAAAGTATAAATCAGAGGTATTTAAATCAAAGGAGACACTGCATACAGAAAGATAAATATGAAAAGATTTTGACCAAATTAATTTATATAAGACAATAGGAGAAGAAGGAATGTGGCACTGGTAGAGAAGCTATAAAATTTCTCTATGATAGAACAGAGTATTTACTATAGGAAAGGTCAGAAAGTTAGAAGTTAGGTCATAGGAGATACTAAATTTCAATTAAAAGTGATTCTCTGACATAAAGTCCCCTATGCCACACTGTGTCCTGAGCTTGATGAAAATTTATTATGAAAAATGCATCTCAATCTCTTCATGAGGGATATTAATTACAGAAATATGTTTTCTTATTGATTTTAAACTTTTCCACAAAAGTTACATTGATTTTTAAGTCCACTATTCTTACTTTGTGAAAAACTTAAGTTAAAAACAGTAAATTCAAATGACTATGAAATTTTATATATAGATTTAAATGTATTGGGGTGAAAGAAAAGAACAGGAATGGATTTCTATCTCCCCCACCCCCAGTTTAATACTAATGAAGAAATTAATTTCAAAGATGCTGTTAGGATCTAAAGACCTAGGTACCATTACTGGTTCAGATGCCACCTATGTGACCTAAGCAAGTCTCTCAGCCATCTCTAGATCCTTATTCTACATAATTTTTTCATAAATTCATTGCATATGAGTTATTATAATATTTATTGCCTTTCTAAACTCCATGGAAACAGGGATTTGAGTAAATAAAAGATGGTTTAGGGATTTTTCCCTTTCAGATTCTAAAAGGCTATAAGGCTATATATAGTGTATTTGGGGAAGGGAGAGGTAGTTACAAAAAATAAATTTAAAGGTATATCTTACAGATTATTGAAAAATGGTACATTAAGTAACAGGTAGGGCAAAATGTCCATCATTGGCAAACAGTCTTTGTGCAAGAGATACTACAGTTCACTTGACGAGGAGATAGAGAGACATGTAAAATCAACTCCACTATCTAGGAACTTACTTCTTTAATGAGAGAGCCAAAGTATGTGCATAAATGAACACTATTACAGGGTAAAAAGTATAGAAGATAATGGGAGGGGGGGGAAAGCTGTAGGAATTTAAAAGAGGAAGTAGAAGAGAACTTCCTCCTTTAACAGTAATTCCTCTTTCCCCAACTGGAAAGATTCTTGCATTACATTACAGAACTGAAGAGAGACTGACATAAGGACATGCAGTCATAAAAATACAAAAATAAGTAATCCTTTATTCATAGGTCAACTAAGTTATGAGCAAATCCTGCTCTACCATGTACTGAATTAAGATAATTCAGATTAAATACTATGTTTTCCCATTGAAACCAGACTCATTTTTATTATATTTCTACTGAAAAAAAGATTCATTTTGAACCACAGCCAAATTCTGGAACATTAAAAATTCTCTGAATAAGAAATTCACATAAATATTTTGAAACGTTTTCTTTAAATGAAATGTAAAAATAATTTCCATGAAGAGGGGAAAGACAGAAGGAAAGGTATGTCCTTATTAAATTTATTCCCTAAGGGAAATAACATATCAAAGTTACCAATAATTGAAAGCATGACAAGTTATATTTAAGCTATTCTGGATGTATTGTTTTCACTAGATGGATATTTTTATGAAATGGTGCTTGGACATCAAATTCTTGTCTAATATAAAGAACCATCATAATGCAAGGACCTTAGAAATCACCAGGTTCAATTCATTATTATAGATGAGAAAATAGAAGCACAGTACCATTATTTAAATAGCAAGTTTCTAAATATCTAGTACCAAGAGACCAGTTATCCAATTAACTAGTTCAATATTCTTTCCACTAGAAAATTCCATGCTGGAGTAAAAAGAGGTTTTTTTCACTCTGCTCTAGAAAAACTGACTTGAAATTCTGTATTTAGGGACAAAGCTGAACCTACTGTCTAATTACTCAAAGTAAGGTAACTAAACATTACATGCCTCTGATTTATGTAACATAAAATACACAGTACCACCTATGAAGTATTCTTGCCCCTCTGAAAATAAACAATAATCTAACAGAGCCCTTAGAAATAATTACCAGTTTATAAAAATTAATAAGGCAAATATTAGGAAGAAGTTAAATCAATTTCTCAATCTTGGCACTATTGACATTTTGGGGGGTATAATTTCTTTGTTGTTGGGGGCTGCTCTATACATTTCAGAATGTTTAGCAGCATCCCTGGCCT